TTATTAAGTTCAAATAAACTAAGTAAGTTGGGTTTAAAAGCTAAAAATAAAGCAATAAATAAAAATTGTTGGTAATGATCAATTTATAGAATTAGTAATGTTTTTTATGCACATAGAAATAATATTTAATTAATAATTATAATTTGCTTTTGACTTTAAATTTTGTTTAAATCCTGTTCCTAAGTAAATGTTTTTTTTTTTTGAAGAACGAAATATTTTATTGGTGTTAGATTATTTGTGCTGTATTGATCATTAATTCATGATTGAATGCAAAGCTATTATTTCCTGAGCCTAATGGTTATTTGATAACTTTATTTATAGCAATAGAGTTATGTTTTTTTTTTTTTTGTTAGCAATATTCTCTGGCTTTTTTCTCGGTGTTTTGGCACTTGGCAACGGCTGCACTTTCGATTCGATGGCCAAAACCACAAACAGACAGGGCGAAAATGAAGATGGGGGACTCGGGAGGACAGACAGGCAGCAGCTGGGACACGTTGCGCATTGTGATCGGGCCAAAAAAGGGGTGACTTGGCCAAGGATGAAGATGGTGATTGAGCCGAAATCGGAGGAGGAGTTTGGAGGAGGAGGAATCGCAGGTGGAGGAGGAGTTAAAGTTGGAGGTAGAGTTAAAGTTGGGAGTTGGGAGTTGGAGGACACTGCGGACATTTCGAGAAATGCAGCCCCGAAGGCACGCGGCGAGAAATGGAAACCGGAAATGTTGTTACCTTCCTCTTTTCAAGAGGCGAAAGGGGGGAACGCGAGAAAGGGGGGAGGGGAAGGGGGAGAAGGAATCACTGGGCATCCCGGAAATGGGTGCAAATGCGACGAATCGTTATTTTCGAGTGTATGTGTGTGTGTGTGTGTGTGTTGTGTCTGATTTGCAACGCCGCAGGGAATCGGTCGAAATGCAACTGGAATGAGTCAAGAGTTTTATCGCGGGCGGAGGTCAAAGTTGAATGGAAGTGGAAGTGGCAGTGGATAAATGGCGGCAGGAGGTGCGAACATTCGGTGCCATGTGCTGCGTCCAGTGCACAATAATTTACATGCAATTAAATGCAAAATAAATGCAAAGAGATAAATGATTACCGACGGAATGGGGTGATTGCTGGAGGAGGAGATTGGTAAGGGATACCACTTGCAAATAGAAAGTGAAATCGGTGGGGAGCCATTATCGAGGCGGTTGGGGGTCGATAAAGTGGAGAATGCACTGCTGGCAGTATATGTCTGTATTACTGAAGGGCATTTCCTTTAAATGGAATTTATTTGAATTATAAAATAATTAAGGAACAAAGGCTTGAAGCAAAATATACCAAGATACGAAACATTTAAATAAACAAACTGATATACAATATATCAACAAATAAATATTCAAATAGTTTTAATACAAAGCAAAGAAAATAATACGTTTAAAACCAACTACTTCTAGTGAAATATTAACATATATTTCTTTTTAAAATCCATTTAAAATCCCTCTATGAAAAATATTAAAATCCAATTGAAATCCTAAAATGAAGGATATCGAAATCGCTCTACAAAATAAAACAAATTAATAGCCATCGAGTTCCCTTACCGCAGCGTTCAACAGGCAATAAAATCGTTTAAATTTACGACATTTTCTCGACCAACCAGAAGGACAAGCACACACACTCACACGCACATACACACACTCGTAAATTCGTGTGTAATTGAAAACGCAATGGCAACAAACACGGAAATTAAACCGTTAACTGTCTTTTGCGGTTGGCTAGCAGAACGAATCGAAAAGCAAACCGCATCCATCAGTCTGTTGCAAGTGGCGAGTGGAAAAGTGGGAAAGTGCAAGTGGAATGCAACCGGGAAAAGGTGGACCCTTACGGTGGTATCTATGGTGGGTCCACCCCAAACTCTGTACTACACTTTATCCTAGATGCCAATGCACTTGGACAAAAAACGTACTCTCTTATTAAGACCGATACAAATCGACTGATAGAATATATCAGTATAAATGATAAGTTACTTTTTATTTAACCAGAAACATGCATATTTTTATTATTTTAAAATGCAGTTCTTTTTGTGAATTTATATTTAAAACCTACACTTGTAGTTGCACACTTTTCTCCCACTTTTTGAGTCAATGAACTGGAGTGTGCATTTCTAGGCCTTCCTTGTTTCGCCAGACGTTGGCTAAAAGCCTGCAAAAAGCCATGGCCAGCTTTGAAAATGTAAATGGAAATGGGGAAATGGGAGTGTGAGTGTCGAAGGAAATGGAAATGGAAATGGCTGACGAAGAGCCATTGTGACAGGTGAACAACTCCGCCGAACGATGGAGTATATATGGAGTATATATAGTACACCTACTTACGGGCACATCCACCTGTCTGACTTTTGCTCCAGACTAATGCGTTTCTCTAAAATCTAGAAAACTAGAAGAGCAATGTATATGCATTATACACCATACATAACGTACAAAAAGCTAAATCTATATATAACTGATCTGTCGTGGATGGCATATGCCGTTACGCCTTTTTATTGTTCGCCGCCCAAATGAAATTTGTCGATTGGAACCAATAAAATGCAGGCAATGAGCCACACACATGAGACACAGGAAGTACGAGTACAGTGCGGTACAAAAATGTAAATCTGCAGAAGAGATGTTCAATTATAATATGCAATAAATAGTATTTCAAAACTGAAGAAGGAATAATAGATCTTCCCTTTGGGTATAATATAATAAGATTAAAAATATTTCTAAGAAGCGTTTAAAGTGTACAACATAATTCAAACTAAATTATTTCTTTAAAATAAAATTTTGAAATTAATCTTTTTACATAAAAGGAAATATTTTTAAATTTAAATACAGTTTTTCCTCCGTAATCTTTTGAAATGCTATATATTTATATTGTATTATACGGATGGAGGAGCATCCAGCATTTCAGCCAGCATCCTTGGGCATCCTTTGTGCATTTCCTCCTTGCTGCCGCATTTGTACTTTCCTTGCATTGGCTTTCCTTCTCTTTATCCTTTTTGGGCTTTTATTAAGTTTTCCTTTTGTCCAATTTCGGTTGGCTTTCAGCCTGTTAAGGAACTTTTACGCTCGTTTGTGTCTGTGTTTCCTATAAATTGCATTTCCTTGATGGTCAAGCTCGATGGCCACGCCCCCTTTAAGAAGCCGCCCCCTAGTGACCGCCTTATTAAATCAGTATAAAACGCTTGACACTCAACCTCTTCCCTTCCATTTTTTTTTGCTCCTTTTTGGTAATGCAATCAAAAGCAGAAGTAGTAGCTGAAAAGTGAGCTTTAAAAAGCGAAATACTACCCGCACTCCTTAAAAAAAAAAAGAAAAAACCACCCGATTCACGGGTTTTTATCATCTTCTCTCAACTGCTTATTGAAAAATTGTGCGCAACTCGCACAGAAATCATAAACAACGCCGCGGGGTGCACAATATCTCCATGCCCCATTCCCCATTTCCCCCTCTCAGTTGGCATTTATTGAAATCTGAAGAAGAAAAATTATATATCTATATGGTATGGTATGGTATGGTATGGCTGTGTGTGTGTATATAATTGCATGCTTTTAGGGTTGCTGCGCTTCTCGTTGAAATTGAAAAGCAAACACAACAATGCCAGCGAGAAGACGAGACAGAATCTGAAAATCCGGAGAAAGCGAATTACGTAGACTGGGGCAAAACACTTGAGAACTTCTCCCCGAAAACGCTGTTCCTTTAATTCCCCTTAAGAGTGCACGTTTTCAGGTGGTCGGGGCTTACAACTTTACAGAATTGATTTGAGAAAGATTATGAATGGAAATCTTAATGAAATTCCGCTCAAAAGAATTATTTACAAGGACATTTTTAAACCGATTGTCTACATACATTTTTAAAGGCATTAATTATATGCACTTACCTTATTTCACATTATTTAACTTTTTTAAAAGATTAAAAAAATGTGTGAATGCGTTTCATATCACAGAGAAATGTGAAAAATCTATGAAATATTTTTTGGCTAACTCCAAGCATGCAAATTTGTTGGCAAATTAAAAAGCATACAAAGAATTCACAAGAACTTTTGTTCAAGCCAACGAAATGCTTGTAACTCTTATGCGAAATTCTTGTAAAATTGTAAAATTCCATTTTATCGAAATTTTTGTACTCGAAGTGCGTCGCTCATTATGAAAGTTTTCACAGGCGATTAGCAGAGCAGAGTTTTGGTTTCGGTTTTGGCCCCCTGGTCCTGGTTTTCGGCCACACTTGACCAGGTTTGCAGCTGAAGAGGCATTTCCCTTTTACCATTTTATAAGCCAACGCCGCGATTTGTCGCAGCGTCTGCAAAGTTTTCGCCGACAACAAAAAGTGGCAAGTGGAAGTGGCAAGTGGAAGTGGAAAAGTGGCAAGAGAAAAAATACGAACTTGGGGCAAGGGCTTTTCCGTTGCAAGAAGAAAGGAAGGAACGCGGAGAAGTGGAGCGGAGAGTAGGTACGATTTATCATCCATAAGTGGGAATTCATGGGCGAATTGTGAACGCAACATTTAACGCGCAGCCAAAGGAAAAAGACTCACTTAAGGACTTAAGCCACCGCCAAGCATCGGGAAGATAAAGCACAACATTTTTGATATATATCCCGGGGTAATCTTAAGGTTGATATATAGCCAAATTGTGCAAGATTTCGTTGAAAACAAAAATCAGTTGGATGGGATTGCTGTCCATGAATACAAGAATACAATGTGGGAACTATTGAATCGAAAATGAAAAATTTGTCATGTCCGAGAAGACTGTTCAACTTGGTTAAAAAATTGTTAAATTAACTACAATGTTTTAAACAACAATTTAAAACAACTTGTTAAATTAACAATATTTAAATGTTATAAAGAAATAGACAGTAAACATAAGGGTATTATTTTGCGGGTATTAAAAGTTTTTCCTATAAACATTGTTTATATAACTAATCATAATCTAAAACTCGAATTACTTATTAGTTAATTTTTCAATTACTAATTTATGTTTTCTCTTATTGAATTTCAGACCTTCATAGTGCGTGGTTCCAGTCAGCCGAACACGATGGCGGTTTCGGTGAGGTTGCCCCAGGACACGGGACCCTACATCGAGCACTATCTCATCCAGTCGCACGACAATGTCCTGAGCTTGGAGAGCTCTCGGTTCACCTTCGGATCGATTCCCTCGCTGATTGCCCACTACGCCCAATGTTGCGATGAGCTGCCGGTGCAGCTGATGTTGCCACGGGTTCTGAGGGAGGCGAACAACCGCAAGAAGCTGAGCTCGCTGGCTCTGTTGGGTCAGGAGTTCTGGAGCTATGCGAGCAGTCCAGCTCTGCTGGGTCCGCCATTTCCGGCGGTGGCTCCTTCGAAGGATCACCATCTGCTGGATGCCAAATCGCCACTTTCACTAACCGAAACGAGTGGCTTGGGCACGGCCACTTTCTTTAGTGATGCGTTGGTTAAGCCACCGCCCACGGGTGCTCCTCCACTTCCAGGAGGAGGAGGAATCGGTGGAGGAGGAGGTGGTGGAGGGGGAGGAGGAGGCGTAGGAAGCCTGTTCAGTCCCACTGGCAGTGGCCAACTGATGGGATTCTTCAGCCAGGCGGGAACTCCCTCGGACACCACCAACTCCAGTTTGAGTTCCTTTACCACCAGCGGAGGTCAGCACCTGCAGCTCCTCAGTCCGAATTCCGTGGATTCGGTGATTCTCACCATGTCACCGGTGGATAATCCAGGTCATTACTTGCCGGGTGGTTCGGCGGGTCCTCTGGCTCCTTCGCTTTGCCCCTCGGTGGGTGAACAGCAGTTGAGCACCTTTAAGGTGGCATCCCAAACCGCACCAGATCAGGTGGATCAGGTGCGTCCACAGCGACCGAAGCCACCGAACACACTGAATCTCAAGCCACCGGCACCACCGTTGCGCTGGTCGAAGCCCCACTCGCCGGATCAGAATGGTGGATCCAATGGTAACTTTACGGTGACCACAACGGTCACCTTTTCAATGGAGAATGGTGGTGGGGGAAGTGGAGGAGTGGGAGTAGGAAGCGGAGCAAATGGAAATGGAGGTGGTAAATTCGTTGAGGTCACCACTCCAGCGGCGAACAATCCATTCAATTCCCTGCTCAATGGACAAGCGAGCACCTTTCAGACATTCTCAAAGCGTCTGTCACCAGAAGGCGAGTGCAAGGACACGCTCTCCTCGCAGGCATCCTCCTCCTCGAACGATGGTCGATGGAATAGGAAGCTCCTCACCAACACCACCAGCACCAACTCCCCCTCACTCCGTTAACTCCAAGCGGCGGCAGCAGCAGCAGCGGTGGCAAATCGCGCAAAGCGCGGGTGGGAAAGGAGTCGCAGCACTACAAGGAGTCGCCGATCCTCGAGAGCCTCGCGCCGCAGTACTGCGCCAGTGCGCTGAGCGACAAGATCAGCGACTACGAGGACGTCTGGTCGCACGATCCCAGCGATCGGGCGAGTCTCCTCACCAGCTTCCGACCGGCGGCGGACTCCATTGGAGGTGGGGTCATGAACCGACGACCCGATCTGCTGGCCGAAACACGTAAGTAGCTATTTATGTTAACGAGAGGTTTGAAATCTGCGATTTCCGTTTTATCTACTTATTTGGGGATTTTTTTCTGCGATTTTGTAAAAAAAAAAAAAAAAAAAGAAAAAAAAAAAAAAGAAAAAAAAAAAAAAAAAAAAGAAAAAAAAAAAAAAAGAATAAAGAATAATAATAAAGAACTTAAATTTTCAAACTAGACTGCTTTCAAATCCTTTTAAAAACTCTCGCGATATCTGCAGCAACCTCCCGTTTAACATTATATTTATTATACTTATTATGATCACTAATGATACCTATTTTTGAATCCCTCCAGCGAGCACTCCCACACCGACGCAGCCATCGCACCTGACGCCCTGCGAAGAGGAAACCACTGCAACCACCACAACCACTGCCACGGCCAACGAAACCTCCAGCCAATCCCTGCTGCAGTTCTCCGGCGATGTGCCAGCCCGCTCGCGAGCAGGACTGCTCCTGCCGAATCTCGCAGGGCAGACGCCACCAGCGGGAATGAGCCAATCCCTGACAGCGACGGAGGACGACGGAGGCGACACAACGCCCACGGCCGAGGGTCAAACACCGGGCGAAAGTCGGAGCAAGCAGGGCAGTCCCTTCTACGCGGAACCGGCGGATGCACTGCGTCAGGCAGGCCTCACCAGTGCAGCCACCGCCATTTTGAGGCGACAGCATCGCAGTCAAGTGGTCCACGCCAGCCAAAGGCACTCGGAGCCACTGAAAGCGGGATTTGCGGGAGCTTCAAATGGTCCCCCTCCTACATTTGAATCATCTGGAGAAGTTGGCAGGCAGTCTGGATGAACTGAAACCCAAGCCCAAGGGTAACCAACAGCAGCAGCAGCAGCAGCAGCAATCGCAACAGCAACAGCAGCAACAGCCCACAAAACGGGCAAGAAACCGCATTGATCATTGGCAATTGGACAGCAGTTGGGAGTTCATGGCCAAGCAGGAGACGGGCAGCCATGCTGGCGGGGATTACGATGCGGCGGCCATCGATTGGCAGGAGAAGGAGAACTCGCTGGGCAGAGAGGCGAATCCCGGCAAGAAGCGAGCCCTGACCATCCATCAGATAATCGCTAAGCGTTTGCCCGATCTCAATTTGCCGGAACTTGTGCGCTGCTCAACGCCGCCGCAGACGATTGCCGCACTGCAGCCACATGTCCTGGGACAGGAGAAGGCGGCACTCGGAGGATGCGACGGGAGTCAGAAGTCATTCCAGAGCCAGAACGGTGGATGCCGGCTCTCCTCCTACGACAACGTCTTCTGCCAGAATTCGTTTGGTGGCATCGATTCGGCGCAATCCGATGATGGCACTATTTTCTCGGAGCCCTGGGATTCCTCCCAGTGGGACTCCTTCCTGCCCCACGATGGTGAGGATTGGGGGATCACTTCGTTTCTCTTGTGATCTTGTAATAATATCGAGTATCCATTTCAGATGCCACTATCAACTCGGACACCATTCATTTGTCGAAGTGCCGACCCGCTCTCTCCGAGGACGACACGATCATCGAGGAACTGCAAAGCACCAAAGACGCCAGCAGTAGCATCGACTGCAACCAGGACACCCTGAAGGCGAACAGGAGTGGGAGTGGTGCTGGCCACCACCACAAGCCCAGCAATGCCGCTAAGGCCAGCGGTCGACCCAAGGTGGCCACCATTCTGAGGAACCCCAGCATGCGGGGCGAAGTCTTATGTGAGTATCGGATCGGATTTACTTTTATCAGAATTTCTTTAAGACAGAAGTTAAGTTGGCAATCGGAATTGGCAAGGGAATCACATAATATAATAATTATTATATATGTTCTTTCAATTATTCAAACATAGTTAGGTAATGTGAAAAAGCATTATTTATCAGTACCCACTTCAAATTTATGTTTACTTTCTTTGGATAAACCAAACACCATGGGAAGGTATCTCTTATTAATCTTACTTTATAAACTGAAGTTAGCAACTATATCCTTAATACTTTATTCGATCGGAATAGTATCCAAGTTCTAACTTCACTGCTAATCACTGAATAGTATCTTTTGATATTCAGCAAAGGATCACATAATGATCTTAATCTGTTGTAACAATTAGATCACACCATAATGCTGTGAAAGATCTTTAAGTTGACTGTAGGAAACCTATTGAAAACGAGTGTTTGATATGTATATAATGCTTTATGTATGCGATACAATATAATATTCAATGAATAGAAATATTCAGGAGTTTAGTCAGTCAAGCCGACTTCTTGGAGTGCCATTTCATACGATTGAAAATCGAAACCATGTCAAATGGCTGTCGGCCAGCACCTGGCAGCGGTTCGCCTTCGGTTGTCGTCTCGTGTGCTTGGGAAGTGGAGTAATTGCGATGGGGAGCACGCTCCATTGCAATCTGTTACTATATTATGGTTGCATCACAATCGTTCGAGCGCCCCATGGCCACAAAAAAATAGAAGGCACGAGCTGCTGCTGAATGCGAATAGTTATCGCCTATTGGCGGCACATCGTCATCGATTGACGGATTGATTGAGTGCACGGAACTTGCAGAACTCAAATCGAAGCAGATAGAGGGAAGCCAGTGCACAATAAGCTAAAATCCCAGGCTTATTTGTGAAAACATCGTTCATGAATCGAGTTATTTTGAAACCTTACGGCAAAAGGGGGTCACTATTACTCATGTTCAGTTACGCCCGATTGTAAACAATATACGCACGAAATGCAAAAATAACTTAAGCGATTAAGAGCTAATTGTAAATAGAAGCCAGAATTGTTTGCTTACTTTGTAGGAGATTTAAGTAATCTTTATATTGAGGTACGAAACCCGTGGAGATTTGAAATTAATAGTAAAATTACCTAAAAGTATGCAAAGATATACTCATGCCAACATTTTGTGGTTTTACGATGGAAAATTAAATGATCTAAAAAATTCTATAGTACAAGATTTGTTTTGGTGTAATTTTAAAACATTTTACATCCTAAAATGCCACAATAATATTTAACAATATAATTTATGAGTCAGAAGGAGAACTTTAAAGATTTGTTTCAATTGACTCAGCGCTTTGGCGAGATTTGTCTTTGAAACGATTGAGTTCTCCATCCTCGAGTTGGATCGGCTCCATGAACTGTGTAACGATGTACTTGATGCATTTGTAAGTGACTTAGGTCTGCTTTCTGCGGCGGTTCAAACTGGATTGCAGCGACATCGGCTGAAAAGTCCGCTTAGCCTATCTGCAAAAATGAAATAATGAAACACGACAGCGCTTTTTGCCGCTGCTCCGCTGCCGCCGACTGAAGACTACAAAGCCTTGCCGAAACTTATCTGCCTGCTGCACAACGCCTTCCACTCGAGTCTCGAGTCGAGTCGAACCCAATTCCGATCCCAGCCGATCCCGCCCTGCAACTCCCCACTTCCCTTTCAGTTCTACATTCTCCATTCTGCATTCTGCAGCCTCCATTCTGCATTCTTCATTTTCTGCGTCGCAGTTGAAATAACGAATAATGTACTTGGAGAAACAAGAACAAGTTATCGATGCACGAAGGTTTTTCGACCAGATATCTGGTGAATATGGTTCTCTGATTTGAACTAGGATTCTTCATAAAATTAACCTACTATTTAAATTACAACATTTGAAACTGTTCACTGTTTCATTGACTTGTGAAATTGAAAGACACTTAGGAAAATCATGAAACAACATTGTATTTGCTCCTGATTGGCGACATTTTTTTCTTGAGATGGATACTATTAACACACTGGAACAATTTCTTAAATATTTAATGAGATGTTGGTAATTTAAATCTTTAAATAGCAATTGCATACTTTATTATTATTATTTAGGCAAACAGAAGAATAGAAATTAAATTATTTGCTAACGAAGTTAATTTGCAATTTTAGTTCATGTTTATAAAATATATTTTAGAACAACAAGGTTTTAGATATGATATTGTTGAATAGAAGCTGGTTAACCCCTAATCCAATTTATAATGCCCTCCAGCCAAGGGTATATACTCGTAGAACTGATCCCAACTCTTGCTCGGATTGCTGGTGGAGATGGGTGAGGGTGGTGTCGGGTGTTCCAATCACAGACTTTGGAATGTAAACCGACGTAGCGACGCCGGCAGCGTTTTTATCAGCGAACGCGAATTTCACCGCGGAGTTAGATCGTCTGAATGGGATGCGTAATTAATGTACATATGAGCAAACACGACACGAAGCCAGGCGAGTGTTTGCCGAATGGAATGCAATGCAGTCAAAGAGTGGGAATCTCGACCTAGACTGTCTATTTTTGGGTCATCGTAAGTGCAAAAACAAACACTAAAACCAGACGAGACAACAAAGGCCAGCTGATGAAAGCCAAACAGTGGCTATTTTAAACGCACTTGCTGCCTAAAACGCACTCGAGATCTCTGATTTCAGATCTCCATTCCGATTGGAGTGGTTTCGATTGGATTGTATCTCATTTTTGGTCCAGCCCAATTCACACGTGCTTGTTTCGTTGTCAACGGATTCGGGGATTCTAAATCGGATTTGTTTGCCTGCGGGCATTGTAAAAGTTAATGTGGGGGCTGACTGGCTGTCGGATTGATAAGCCAAATCTCTTTGGAGACTCAGATTAATGTGCTGTGGGTTTCCAGCAAGAGAGATAGAGAGAAACAACTACCAGGTAGTTGAGGTTCTGGGGGTTCAGTGCTCCCTGCCTGCGAATCTGTACCAAGGTTGACTTTCCCAGCTTCGAACGAACTTTGAACGGGGAAGATCTTGGGTGGCAAACCCTCAACCCTAACCTGAAAACCTCCATTTACATTTACACCGCCCGGAGGTTTTTCCGAATTGCGCATTAGAACCAAGTATGTAAGTAAGTAGCTTCTAGCGAAGCAGGCAACTCGGGTTTGCTGATGCAATCCGGGCATTCCATTGCACGAGAACCCGGACGGAGTCGCGATTCCACTTTCTGGTTGGTCAGCCAAGTAACTAGCTAGCTGGCTGGTTAGCTAGCCAGCGTGTCGGTTGATAAGACCGCCCAAGAGATAGAGGATTAGACGCGAGGAGCACTCCAACCAAGGACATTTCAGATTGAAATCGAGGCGAGAAAATTGCCACAGAGGGGGTTTACTTAATGGGAAAACGATAATAATTAATATGGGAGTTATATGATTTTAAGATCAAATAGGTAGGATCAAATAGATATTCTACATCTCATCCAAAATTATACAAGAAATATTATCTCTTTATATAGATTGGTTCTTTTTGAATTCTCACAAAACTTTCCCCCTTTGAAGGGGACTAACTATATGTTTAAGATATATACCGAAAACCACAGACTCCGCAACCCCGATTACTAGCATGCGTAATATAGGGGGTTTAAACAATGATTTTGTGGGGGACCTACGAACATCTGGTTTTGTTCTGAGCTTCATGATTGTCGCTCGTTTTGTATTGCAATGGATTTTCCGATCAGCGATCCCCGCACAAAGACTCTCTATGAATCATCTCGAAATGGTGATAACTCTGCCGCGATTCTACAGGTAGTTGGCTTTAGTTTGCTATATACCTGATTGGATGAGTGAGTACCTGGCGGTGCTTTAAAACTAATCCCAACCTGCGGTTGAATCATTGGCTTGCGCAACTGTACCTGCTTGTAATTCCGGAAATTCAAGGAGATATTTGGATATACCCATTAAGGATGCTACCTGTGATATGTATATCTATCTATCTATATATGATAGGGAAAATGGCCTGCTTTTTAGCGGATTTGGATGGGAAAAGGTCACGCGAATGAGGCCGCCACTTGGCGAGTTGACACATTTAGCGGCGTCGTCGTCGCCGTCGCTATCTTTGTTGTTTTTGCCGACTGCGACGTCGACTGCGATCGGACCGCCGACCGCCGACCGTCGACCGTCGACGGTCGTCTTATAAACTAATGCATATGAAGTTCAGAATTAGTTTTGCATTGGCCGCGTTTAGAGCAGCAGCCGCCGCCGCTGAGGGAGTTGAAAAACTATTTCAAAAATTCAAGAGAAACAAAAACGAAAGAAGGAAAAAAAAGAACAGAACATAGAATATACGTATAGTAAATCGAAAAAGTGAGATCAACGATCCGGGGGAGCGCAAATCGCTTATCAATCAGCTTGCAGCGTGTGCCGATGAGAAACCTGCGTTTCCGCCAATTCGTTTTAGCTGGCAAGAATCGCTATCGGATATACCATGAGTTGGTTCAGAAGATCGTCGCGTGCACCGTCCGCGAGCCACCTGCAGCATTCCCCTGCCACGCCCACTGGTACTCCATCACCTCCATCGCCTCCTCATCCAGCAGCAGCGCAGGATATGAGCAAGTCGCTCAGCTGGCTGGACGAGCGGTGCATTGAGCGACAGGAGCCGGAGGAGTTCTTCCACGATCCGGACCATGTGCGTCACTACAAGGAGGAGGCGCAGTTCCTGAGCATCATGTCCGAGTGGGAGATCATCGAGCATCCGCCGCAGACGAACTACTTTTCCGCTGACTTCGAGGAGGAGCTGCTGCAGCAGAGAACCCAACTGCCCGCCGAGAACAAGGATGGCAAGGATAGCAAGGATAACAAGGATAACAAGGATGCCAAGGAGCTGCAGGAAACCAAGACTGAAACCAAAACGAAACCCAAACGAAAGAGAAAGTTCCTGGAAATGCTCTTTGTGGCAGACATTCAAACGGGCATTGCTTTGCCACCAGGAGATGGAAATGGAAATGGAAATGCAAATGAAAATGGAAATGAGGATGAGGCAAACCAACGACCGCCTTCCTCACCAACGGCAGTGCTGTGCAAGAAGTCGAGGAGATCCTTTGGTGGGAGCACCGCCAGCATAGCCACTCCCCACCCACCAGGATCAGCATTGTGTCCGCAACAAGTGATCAAGGATTGCCGCATCGATCGCAAGCAACTGAAGACTGAGGCTCTGGCCGGCAGCATCATGGGAGCCATCGGGAAGTGCCCAGCTGGCGAGGATTCGGTGACGGGGAGCAGGAACGGGGAGCCGGATCAGTGCCATCCTGGTGAGCTGAACACCTGTGACCACTACGACATCAAACAGTTCTTTCACCTGGACGAACAGGGCAACATCCTGCTGAACATGGCCCACATTGTCGAATGGCAGGCGCTCGGCCTGTGCCTCCAATCCCAGAGTCGCCGTCTCTATCGTCGCTATCGACGTGGCTGTGAGTGCGCCGACGAGTCCTTCTGCCGGCGACGCGGCTGCTGCTTCCTCCTGCGCCGCCTGCTCCGGCTGCTGTGTGAATTAATAGCTGGTAAGGATGGCGATCCAAGGATCAAAGAGGATTTTTTCAATTGAAAAACCCTATTTAAGGGGTTTCTAGGAGCTAGAAGAAGCTAGATTCTTTCAGGGAATTACAGTTCTACCATTACTTTTAATTTGTTAAACAAGGATATGTTCACTGGGAATTAGGTTTAGGTTGTTTCATAAATAGAAACCTATACAGAACCCCTATAATCTTTTCTACAAACAACAAATTGTATACTATCTTTAAAATAAGAATCATAAAATCAACTACTTGATATCAAAGCAATATTATAGTAGTATCCAAGTGGCAACTATTAATCTGATTTGGAGAATGCTTATCTTTTTATATACGTGATATAAGAAGGCATATCTCCCGTATATTTATCTATATTTATCTAAAAAGATACAAGCCAAGTAAATATTAATTTAACTAGCCTTTATCTAATCTTTCCATCTAAGTAGCTTAATTATAACCAATTGATTTAATACCTTTGAACTAACATCTATTGTTTCCTCATCCTATTTTCAGGTCACCCCCGCAACAAGATGAGCATTCAGAGCAGCGGACCCGGCGATTCCCTGAGAGCCTACACCTTGCAACTGGCCCAGGATCCCAGTTCGACGTTCGCCCGCAACATCGAGAACTTCATCTGCTGCACGAAGGAGTCGCGGGAGGCGGCACCGCAGGTGGTGATGCGCAACATGCGCCAGTTCATGAGCGGCATGAAGAACTATCTGGTGAAGCACGGCGAAGGGAAGTTCCATGCGGAATTGGAAACGGCGCGATCGCGTCTAAAGTCGGATGAGTTCCTCAATTTGGACGCCATGCTGGAGACGGTGATGCATCAGCTGGTGGTTCTTCCACTGAGGGAACACCTCTACGGCATCTTTGTGGATCACTATCAGCGCAGTGAGGATATCCAATTGCTGGCGCAGAATGTTCGCTACGCCTGCGAACGGGAAGCCGCTGACTTTGGCATCCGACCAACGGTTACGCCGCCATCGCAGGCAGCTCTACGGCTGATTGCCAACCTGCTGTGGCGCCTCCAGGAGGCCGAACTGCCACTGGACAAGCTGGAGCTCTTCCTCTGCGTCATTTCAACGGTGTTCGATGCCACGGGATGTGCACGTGGCCAGCAATTGGGCGCCGATGACTTCCTGCCGGTTCTCGTTTATGTGGTGGCCAAATGCGGATTCGTTGGCGCCGAAATCGAGGCGGAGTTCATGTGGGGTCTCCTCCAGCCAACTCTGCTCAATGGCGAACCGGGCTACTACCTAACTGCCCTCTGCAGCGCCGTTCAGGTTCTGAAGACCTTCATGGCCTCCGAGGGAGAGAGCGGCAGCGGATCCCTGGACGTAAGTAGCAGTCGCAAATAAGGGTTTTTCTCGGGTTTCCACTTAGGTTACAGCACTCAAGTTGCATAGTGCGTGGGAAGTGTTTAAGGAGCTAGCCTTTAAAGATTTTGTAGATGCAGAAGTATATTGGAAACCCAGCTCAAGCACTATAAAAGTTCCTCAGTGATTAACCTTTGACCTCTTTGCTTTCAGTGGCGCTCGAGCTGCTTGCCCGCCTGCTCCAGTGTGCTGCGCGTGATCATCCCCGACGAGTGCAACGGCTCCCTGCAGACGAGGACACTGCCGGTGCGGCCACACACGACCACCCGCGAGGTGTGCCGCATCATAGCGCACAAGGCGCGCATCACGAACCCGCAGGACTACGCCCTCTTCAAGCTGGTCGACGGCGAGGAGACGCTCCTCACGGATGCCGAGTGTCCCCAGGACGCACGACTGGCGGCCAAGGGGAAGCACTGCATGCTGGCCTACAAGCGAATCGACGCGAAGATCGCCTGGCCAACTGCCCAGCTGGCAGGACATTGATTCGGCTCGGAGGACCAAACTCAACCAACCAACCAACCGATTACCGATTACCAACTACCAACTATCGAGAACATACCGCCACCCAACCCGCCCTGCCCTTCTTGCTCACTAACCAAGCATATTTGATTAATAATTTATTATTATTACATTAAAATATACTTAGTAGCCTGTAAGTAAAGCTAATTAATGCTAATTAGAAAACATCTAATGTGTACTAAACATCAGTATTGAGTTAAGTGTTTTTTTTTCCAAGCCCATTTTTTTTATGCTAATAAATGTACTATGCGAATAATACATATAAATATATATACACAATATACGATATATAAACTTTTAGCGATTAGAGATGCAAATTCTGCACAAAAGGAAGCGAGGAGAAGTCATCTAAACGAATCTACCCTCTAAACATATTTGCATTCGCGGACATACCAAGTGCAACATGCGGTATGGATCGCGTTTGCCACTCTGGAGACCAAAAGCACAGTTCAACAATCACAGCAACAATCAATCAATCATTCATTCAACCAATCAATCAATCAAGCAAACGATCATGCAGTCACAGAACTGCATCGAACCATCAAACTACACAAAAGGCATTTAGGTGTGAATGGGTTTCGTGTTTTTATAAGAAGCTAAACCATATTATATTAAAGTATAAACCACTACGTTTTAATATTTTGTGTTCGACTAAACACTGCTACCAACCCTCGAGATAAACATACATATACATACATATTTTTTTGTATACTTTGTAAAATATGTGACACATAATCCAAATAGCAAGCAAATAAATAACCAAAATAAAAATGAGTTCTTTTAATATAAATTGGAGTTGAAAAGGGGTTTAAGTTGTTTTTGATGGATATTGATTGTTAAGCAGAAGCTTTACTTAATATGCATTTGATTTATTGCATAGATTGGATTATTAATTTCGAGACAAACTATTCATCAACCAATTATGAAAAAATCTGCTAAAGCTTTAATGAACAGTATCTCATATTTGTTATAAATCTTGTTCTATCCCATCGGTTCCTTAAAATAGGCCTCGTCACAATCGTAGAACATTTTATTTCAGTGCAACATACTTTGCGGCTGCAGCTTTATATTCCAGCTCAACTAAAGCCCGCAAAACAGGAATACCCCTAAAGAGATTACGACCGTTCCCGAATGCCTGATCCCAATGGATCCCAGAATGTGTGTGCTTTCTGGGGATTAGAAAGGTGGGGGCTATCGCCCGGGATCACGCCAAATCGACTTCCCAAAGTAAAAATCGGGAGCCATCTGGGGACTTAATTGGCCCCACAGTCTATTCAATTCGAATTGAAACAGACGGCGCGACAGATAGCGATAATGTATGGTGATAGATTTGCAAAAGTGATTGTCGCCCAGGTCTTGAATCGAAATTGTCTATATGCGGATTTATTGTCGCCAAGATTCATTACTCTCTTTAGCTCTCCGATTTAAAAAAAAAAAAAAAAGCCGAATCAAATGTCGCGAGTTAATCTCTGTATAGTAGAACTATTCGACGCTGTTGTGCTCGCTTTGTTTTGATGGAAATTCAAATTCGGTGCGATAAGGACCACACACTTGCACGGATGACGACAGACGGACAAACGGACAGATGGACAAACGGACAACCGCACAAACGGACAAATCGGCTGACGGACACGAGCTGAACTTTAAATTTCGCAACGTGTGCAAAACGCACATTCGTTCCTAAAAAATAAGATCCCAAAAATAAACATATAATTTTTTCATTTGGCAGAATTTTTAATATAAAACCTACTTTGATAATCCATGCAACTCAGTATGACGTACATGATTTTGCCAATACAATTTATAGAGATAGCGATAATTTAAAAAGATAGCAATAATGAATTATAAAAACCTGTTATGTGACTTCTGTTAATTTAATTTGTTTTTTTTTCGCGGCCTTTATATTTACTAATTTTAACTTATCAAAATATATACAAAAAAAAATAGACCTTTTTCACAACAAAGTTTGATTATAAAAAATAAATTTCTTTGGCGCCTTAGTTGCGTTAATCGATGAAATTGTGATAACTGATAAGCAGTCGACCAATAAAAAAGCGTTGGTTTTATATAAATTTAATATATACTTGTATTATGGTAAGGCATACCTGAACATGTTTTTAATTAACGAGCAGAGCATTTATTTATAATTAATTATGCCAGATACATTATGTCAGATACATTTTGACAGATACATTTTGACAGATACATTATGACAGATTTATGGAAGATAAAAAATAAAAATTAAAGTCTAATTGACTTTTCGAAAATAGAATAGTTCTAAAAGAACGTTTCCAAATTTTTGGTTCAATGTTCAAAAGTTCGCTTGCCATGTTCCAATGTCCAAAAATGTTGTTATATTTTTTTGCAACAATTAAATCTTTCTCGTTACACATGTTGAGTAATTTGTTTTCGGAGAATTTGTGTGGGGAACTTTTCCTTTGTTTTGCTATCGTGCAACAGTTGTAAATTGATACAGATTGGAGTTTGAGCAAGCTATAAATTTTTTGGTTTAATTATAAATAGATAGCTGGCCAACGATCGCCATAGCTGGCCATTCGTGATCGCCATCGCTGCGGCTCTCGATTTTTAATATTTTGAGTGTGCTCTTATCAGCGAGCCACAGCGACAGCAGCAGCAACAGAAACAAAAACAGAAACAGCAACGAAAAGCTCCAATGACGCGATAATAAGCAATTATTGCCACGCCAAATGGTCCCAGCCCCAAAAGCCCCATCCCCCTGGCGAAGAGCAAGATTAAGGACCAAACATCGACACACCGAGAAAAATATGGCCAATTTCGTCCTTTGGAGAGGAACTCCGGACGGTGACTTTATGAGTATTGCGAAATAGAAAACTCGAACTAAACGCTTTTAAGATGTAATTAATTTGAATGGGAAATTGTAGCTCACTTTTAGCTCAAGATAGACAATTACATATCTATTTCCCCCCATTAGATAATCATCAAAACATCGAATCAGTTGATTCTTCTCTATTTTTCAGAATTTCATTATTATGAATAGAACTTCTTAAGCTCAAAATAGAAAACTAAATATATTAATACATTAAAAACATATTGAGCAAAATTCTTTTTAATTTTTAATTTTAAAAACCAGTAAAGTAAAGTATCTATTTAACCCATGAAATGTTTTTACCATAATATCATAACATATCATAATAGTAAACTCGCGAATTCTTAACCTGAATGTGTTGATCAGTAATCAAAGAAACGACATATTCGCATGCAAATCTGTGCCATAATTTTAAGAACAATACATTTGGAGACTTTGATTGTTTGATTTACAACAGACGTAATCCCTTTTTCGCCGTGCAGCAACAAAAGGCCGTGGGGGGCGAAGAAGGGGCGGTGTGGTGCGATGTTTTGATTAGACGCTCCTAAGTACAGAAAGTCAGGCGGGCAATAAAAACAAACGATTGACGAGAGTAAATATATTGATTATTGCACGGATGAAGTGGGCTGTTCGATAACTTTCGCACAAGTCCCCCGAACTAACGAGCCTATGTGCTATATTGGCTATAGCGGAATCGGCGGAATCGGCGGAGAAGTGGGTTAAGGGGCGACAGCCGACGGTGTGTCATAAAATAAATTCAAGTCCCGGTGCTCGTGTGATTAATCGCAAACCTTGTGGCAGTTGAAAAGTTTTTGGAACTTTATTTTGTTGATTATTTTTGCTTTTTTGGCAAACGATAGGTTCAATTGATCCAGTATGCTATCTTATAATTTGGGCAAACATTTTCAAGGCTACATTCCGTAGCTATAATGTGCCAGGTGGGTAAAGGTATTTTCGATTTATATGTTTAGATTAAAATAGATGTGTTTATAATAATTTTATGTTTAAGTTAAAGTTTATTATCAATTATTATATTTATTTTATTAATATTTTTACCATATGTGTTTGTTTTCAATTATATTTTGCAACGGATAAAAACAATTGGTTAAGGTTATCAAATTTAAATTATCAAATTTAAATGAACAATTTATATGTACTTCTCATTCATTCATATTCTTGAATCTATAGTCTATCATTTTCAATTAATAAAATCAAATTGCAATCATTCAAAGTATATATGTATACACAATGCTACTTAAAGATAACTAAAATAGAAATTGATTTTAATATAAAAATATTTATTCTTTTATTTCATACTTTTGTACATTTGATTTAAGTATCGGATTATTTTTAATCATTTATTTATGGATTTTAGACATTAACTGTTATTACTTAATAACTTGCAAGACACTCAAATATTTCATCTAAGCATCTGAAAATAATATTAATGACACAAAACACAACAAGATCTTTATCTCTGAACACAGATTTATTTATACAATCGATCTGAGTACCCGGAATTTTTCGCACAACCAGATAGGAAAGCCACTTACGAATAGGACCCCTCTTGCTTTAATATTTATATTGGTTTATTATAATTGTAGACCGTGATCCGAAGTGGAAGCCGTAAACAATTTCAATAAAATAATTAATGACAAATAAATGATAATGACGAAAGTAAATGGTTTCCAGAAGTTGAACAAATTCCGGATGGTCGGGCATTTCCCTCCCCGCCGATAAGCGATTGGTCCGCTCAAAAGCCATTCCAACTGCTTGGCCCACCCACGCGAAAGTCAGTGGTACCTTTGGCCCAGTAACAGAAACAATAACATCAGCACCTACCTAGTACCTAGTACAAACACTACCTCCCAAATCACAGCCAGAACCCGAGTCCGTGCAAGTGCTCGCATTACGCATACGCCGCGTGTGCAAAGAGCGAGCGGGTGAACACTGGGCAGGATCATATCAACAATTTACCTAGAAATTACTGTCTTTCATATAAACAATTAGTTTTAATAGGTGCATTTCATAGCTAGTGGCTTAAAGTTTGAGTGACGATTAAATTAAACCGGTTTTTAGGTTTCTTCAATAGCAGAATACTATCCATAATATTTGTATTCATTAATGTGTCATTATTGACTTCATTAATTTTTGGGAACATACAAGAAGAGGTTTCTGATAGAAGAACAACCTAATGGATCTAAGAAAACTTGTAGAATTCTGAAAGCAGTTTTTTTAATGATAATAAACATTTTTTAAAAGGTAAATGTTTATAAGTGAATTAATTTCTTGGTTAATAACCCACTTTTCCCAATTCTCTTTTATTTTTAATTTTAAAACCAGTTTGAATGTGTTTATTCAAATTTGTTGCTCTTGCTTTAAATTGAAAATGAATTAAGCATTTAAAAAATATTACTCATCCGCCTTGTTGCCTGTTTGATCTCTAGTATAATAAATATGGTATAATATTTGTTAATATATATATTAACAATATATTTTGAACCAAGGTGCGGCGAGAGCGGGAGAAACGGCCCAGTTGGCGCAATCAGAGCTCCAGCTCAGCCGAAGATCGGAATCGTTGTCGTATAGCGCTGATATATAGCCACATGCTCGTGGAGTCGCAGGTCGGCTTGGCGATCTGAAAAGCCACCGCTGGCAGGCACTTGGCATTCGCGCTGGGCGATTGGAACAGTGCGAGCGTCAAGTCGCGACGGCTTTTTAAATAATAATCATTTTTCTACCCGCTGACAGTCCCACATCTGTTTTTTGTTTTCGTTTTCGTTCGCGTTGCGTTGCGTTTGGGCTTACATTTTTTTTTTTTTTGTTTGTGAGAGAGCGTGCTGTTCGATCGATCGATCGGACCGGAGCAGTGGAGTAGTAAACAAAGCGATCGCGCCATCCAACAAAAGGATTGAAGAGAAGACAGAACAGCCAACAGCAGCCATGGAGGTCTACACGTCGGACAGTTCGGATACGGATTCGCGGGAGCAGAAGACCCTGGACTTTGGTCGGATGAGTCTGGACCTCGTTACCCTCGAGGATCATTTGGCCTCGCCGCAAAAGGCCTTGCTCAAGGCGAGCGGCGACATCGAGACCATGCTGCTCAACCACAATCGTCTGGTGGGCTTGCCCCGCCTCCTGTTGCAGTTCGCCAACTTGAAGGTGCTGGATCTGAGCTCCAATGCTATCACCACTTTGCCCGATGCCGTTTGCCAGTTGCCATTGGTGACCCTGATCGCCAAGAACAACCTGCTGACCAATGCCTCGCTGCCGAAGTCTCTGCTCTCCAAGTTGGCCAACAATAACAATACCACAAACGGTGGTGGCTCCACTCTTAAGGAACTCAACCTGAGTGGCAACCAGCTGACCCACTTTCCGGAACAGGTCACCGAGCTGCGCCACCTGAAGTATCTCTATCTGGGCGCCAACAAGATCACCAGCATCTCGAAGGACATCTGGAAGATGCAGAGGTGAGTGTTCATCGATCTTCCAGCCTCTCGATTGTTTGCTCAAGTGTTTTGTTATGTCGAACTGCGAGCAGTTTCATTGTTAAGTCCAAGCGATTTCTATCGGCTGTTATGGGTATTCCAAACTTGTTAGAATGTGAATGAACCATTATCTTTGTTGGTAGGGTTTCAGTTTAACGATTTAACCATTTGTTATGTTTTTTTTTTGTTAACCATGCCTTTTGTTTGAGTTAAATTAAGATATTTGAAAATAGTAGCTTAATATAAAATGACTCAATAGAGAAAGATTAAAAGCATACATTAAATCCTCACCCTATAACATATGATATGGTTAAATTACTCTCGATTTTCGCCACACCAAAATGATATTACGTGAAGGTCAAAATGGAAACTTGGACTGAGAAACAAATGGGCAAAACACTCGAAAGGGCGATAACTTGGAACCAAAAAAATGAATAGTATAGATAACGAGAAATTAGTAAATTATTTGATTTATGAGTGCCATTCCATTCCATTAATAATTCTGTCTGCAGCGCCATTTAAATGATAGAGGGGAGTCATTCGGTTTTACCCCGTATTAAATCTCTTCATCAGGATTTTGTATACTTATTTGCAATCAGTACTCGACATGCGATCAGTCGATCAAAAGTATACGGAGTAGCTTTGCTTTTCATAGGAAATATACCGAGGGTTCCTAAAGTTTAGCAAGGATGCGGAAAACCCCTTTTTCTTGTTTTTGATAGTGATAGTGAACTTTCCCTCTCTCTCTCCGATTTTCTCTTGCGAATCGACATTGGCCACTCGTGAAAATGAAGGAGAGGGAGGGGGCGACGGACTGGCGAGCACTGTTGCTGTTGCCATGTATAAAAGTCCAAGCACAGACGAGATCGTAATATATATATTATACTGCCGGGTAGCTGATAACGCTGGTCTGCCACTTGTCCGGCGGTTGGTTGGTTGGGCGGTCCGATGGATCGATGGATCGATGGGATCGCCAGCTCGGTCGGGTGGTTGGCTGGGTGGCTGGCGTCGTAAAAGCCAAATCTATCGAAAACACGTACTCGACTCGACCCAACCGATTTGGTCGGCCCATAAAGATACGGCCGTGTATTAATATAATAATAAACAAAGAGCAAAAAAATGGCACATAAAAAAAAATCGCACAAATACCAAATATCAGTTGAAAACAAATTAAACAATAAAGAAACTTTGTGGTCGAGTGGCTCGACAATAAAAATACCCTCTATATAAAGCGCTACTTGACTGCAAAACACTTTTGGTTGTCGTTCAGTTTTACGATTAGTATTGCAGCATCTTAAAAAATGTTGGTAAATGCACACTTTAATAAATTATTACTTAAAGTTTCGAACTAAAAATATTTTAATATTATATTTATCCCACTTGAATCAACCCTGTGTTATTGAGAATGAAACGTGCTTGAATATTTACGTAGTTAATATAAATTTCTCCTGTTCCTAGGCTTATTTGCCTTGAGAACGTATATATAGTATTAAAAGAGTGGTTCATACAGAGTTCCTTCGTTTTTAAAAGCTCTCCATAGATTTTATTGTCAAATCGAGATGGTTAAAACGTTGCTTACGACTTTATGATCCTAAGATATTTTACTTAAGAGCTCTACGCACACCGACCATAAAAATTCAAATTGGCATTAGTTATCAGAGGGCCTGGACTTTGCGATGGCTACGAGGGACTTTGTTGGTTCGCACTTAAGACCCCAAGATTTGAAGAGGACCCTAAGGCTAGAGGGTATAATGAGTTTCGAGCCATAAACCATGTCATAAGCTGTGCGCATGAACCTCTCAGCTCGGTGATTCACTGGAAGAGAATATAACCATATACACTCAACGTCGGGAGAAACAATAAAATCGGTCCAACAAAACACACAGTTAATATGTAGGTAGTATCTGGAACCGCTTGCTCCAACTGATAACTTTGAGCTATCAATAACTCTTATTCCACACTTAATATTTGAGAATGTTCTCAATAATATTTAATTAGACCAATTAGGTGAAAGCGTTCACCAATTGTAAAAAAAACAAATAACTTTTTTAGGAGTAAAAGGATTTTAAGTAAAAGGATTTTAAATTAAATTCGTAATAGCTTTCTAGATTTAGTTTTTCAATAAAACTATTACTTTATTTTGAGGTAAATCTACCTATATTTCAATTAATTATCTATACATTTTTTTGGTAACGCCCAAGTTCAAGTCTGAGTTTGAATATGTTTACATTCCAGTAGAATTACCTCTTATCTAAATACTATAATATTTTTTACAACTCAAAGGCATGTTGGGAGTTTAATGAGAAAACATACTTAATTCTTCTGTAATAGTTAAATTAATATAAAATTTCCTGTATATTTTTCCTGTAGCCTGCATGTTTTATCCTTGGGCGGCAATCTGATCAGTGAAGTGCCCGAGGCAGTGGGCTCCCTCAACCAGCTGCAGGCCCTCGTCCTTTGCGACAATCTGATCGAGAATCTGCCGACCAGCATCGCCCGATTGAAGACTCTGAAATCCCTGCTGCTCCACAAGAACCGCCTGCGGCATCTCCCCAAGGACATTGTGGCCCTAAAGAACCTGACCGAGGTAAGATTCGTTCTTCTGAGATACTACCCAAATCGAGGTTAACAAGATTTAAATAAGAGAGTGAAGTGAAAGTCACTTTTCCATGTTTTTTTTAACGAACAAAAAAAATTACCAAGGCAATATTGTCAATAGTTCATTCTCTTAGTCGTGAAATATTTTTTCTCTTCTTAAAGATTATAGCAATTAATGTGAATTAATTAGTCTTGAAAAATATGCTCTTTACAAATTTTAAATTAACGTTCCTTAAACTTAATTTATACCGCGAAAAGTAAGTAATTTATTAAGTATTCAATTAGAAATGGAAATACCTTTTACCATTAAAAAAAAACTGTACAAAAGATGTACCATTTTATAAATCTTTTCATAACCAATTCTCCTAATTTACAGCTGAGTCTGCGCGACAATCCGCTGGTGGTGCGGTTCGTGCAGGAAATGGCCTTGAAGCCGCCCACCCTGCTGGAGCTGGCCGGTCGGACGGTGAAGGCCAGTGGCCAGCGGCCGGGACCCTACGACATCCCACGGACACTGGCCGAGTATCTGAACAACGCCAACTGCTGTGTAAATCCGAACTGCAAGGGCGTCTTCTTCGACAATCGGGTGGAGCACATCAAGTTCGTGGACTTTTGCGGCAAGTACCGGGTGCCATTGCTGCAGTACCTCTGCTCCTCGAAGTGCATCGAACCGGAGCAGCCGGCGCGTGGATCAGCCGCTCCGGCGGCGAGCGCCAGCAGTGGGTTCATGATGCGCAAGGTGCTGCTGGGCTAGCCGCCGCCCAGTACGGCGCCCGCCCACTCCGGCTCCTGGTCGCATCATCCGGGGCATCGAACGATCCGGGTCCGATCCGATCCTGGTACCGGAGCGGACACAGACACGAGATCGATATCGGATTAGGAATCGCGGGAGCGGAACGGAAACGGAAACGGAAAGAAAACAGAAGAGGTAGCGGCAACAATGATGGCGACGGATCCACGCGTTCCGAGGAGCCGAGGTGTCCGGCAGCCACGAATCCGCTCACCGCTCGCCGGGATTCCCATTGGCTTCACACACACACCCACACACACACACACACACACAACCGTTATCAAATCCAATTTGAACTAGTTTTCTAAGTGATTACGACCTGTTTGCTGGCTCGTCTTGCGTGCCATTTAGCTCTCTTTCTGTTTGTTTGTTTGTTCGCTTGTTGTTATCCACACTTACACAATCTATACCAAAGAAACACGGCTGGCTTTCACTGGGCAGAAGGATTTGAGTGGCTTGCTGAGCATTTGGCGATTATAATCGTTGATATGGCAGATTGCACTGGTTACTCAACTTGTCATCCAAAAAGAGAATAAGTTCTTCTGGTTATGTAATATTTAGTATGTATGTCCTCAAGATCTTGCAACGATTGAACTCCAAATATACTTGTCCCGAACCTTTACAGTCTTTTAGGTATTGTAGCGTATTATTGTAATAGAAGACTTTTCGAAGCCCTACATTCTATAAGTTATAGAAATCCGAGTCATACATTTTTATAAAATAGCTTTACACACCCAGGTATGTAAAAGTTTGATTTTCTACATGGTCTAGTTAAAATAGTTTCGTGAACCGTAGTTCAAATACTTATTATACATAATTTAATTTATTTCGATTCTTGTCGCTTTAAAAAATGCAAATACTTTCTAATTTTCAAACCTTAGATTAAACAACAAATTTTAAAAGTAAAAAAAAAATTGAAATGAAGTCGATGCAGAATAAAATAAACAAAGTCTGAGATTTCATGAACGACAACAGATCCTAACATTGCAAATAAAAATGGTTTTAAAATCATAAACATATTTAAAGTTAAAGAAAGTGAATCAAATGAGTAAAAATACGAACTTTCCTATTATTCCAGGATTCTATTTATATTTATATGGTAGTTTAAACTCCCCACAGACCCGTTTAGGAATAACACCAACAAAATATTTGTATGGATAGTGTTTATTGTGTTTATTCGCTCAAATCTGGCCAAAGTTCGCACCAGGGACAGCATCTACTACTAGTTTATTTAAAAAAAATGGTACACAGAGGCGGGCTGGGACCCTTGGACTGGTCCTTTATAAGGGATTTGTCTATAAAGTATAAATACAAAACTAGAGGGTGGACACAGAGACACAGAGACAGAGGGACGGGTCACAGATTAAAAAAAAAAAAACAGGAAACTTTTAACAGATTTTAGCATAGGGGCGTCCAAACGATGCTTTAAAACGAGCACAACATAAATAGTACAAAAGGAGAACATTAGCACGCACAGGTAACAAAACAGTTTTCCTTTTCTTTTTTCTGCACAGGAAAAATTGGTAACGTTTGATAATAAAAAATACAAAAAATTAAATAATATAAGATTTTAGAATGCCGTTCTGCATGTCACACTTTATACTCTATTATAGGATAAAAAAATTGCTTTAATCTTAAAATTATTTTACAACACAATTTTGCATTGAACGATACATAATGTTCACTAGTCAAACGACTTGCAGAGAATGATAATTTTTATGAAAGCTCTAACCAAATTTTTAAAGTGGATGTCTGCCATCAATGCGACTACAAAATTGATTTGGAATTTTGTAGAACTCCAAATGGCGCATTGACAAAAAAGGTAAAACTAAAAATGTTTTGTAACTTTGTAACTGTGCATAAAGACGCTTTCCTATTAGCAAGAGCAATTACAAGAAGAAAGTAAGCTTATATACCCTTGCAGTTAAAACTTCAGTCTATAATGAATTTTCAAAATTTGTTAGTCCGATGCTTACTACGCCAGCAAAAGAGTGTACTCTTATGAAACTATTTAAGTTAAAGTTTCCATTAATTTTTAAATTTCTTCTATGGCAGCTATATAACTTTTATCGTAACTAATTTTTAAATGACAAGGTAAATGCATAAATGTTTTACAGCATCGAAGTTATGACGATTTTTCTATTAATTGTCCTTAATTTTTCCGATTGTTCCTATCGATTATATGTACGTATCTTTATGGGTTCGGAGTTGACTCCTTTACTGCACTGTAAACTTATGACTGAAATAATAATGATCTCGGCAAGGGTATAATAAGCATAAGAGCTCGATGGGCAATAAGCATGGACACCCCTGATCTAGTACTTTAGCTTGTCTGGCCTGCGACTTACGGCTACAAAAACGGAGCTGCTACCGCGCTTCTTTCTCCAGGATCGCATGGATCCGTAATTCTTCCCTAGAGGCCGCGCGGAGCAGGATTACATCTGCATTATGGGGAATGCGGCGCTTGTCTTACAATTCTAATTATATTGAGTAGTAGTTGAATGTAGTTGTTTTCGCCGCTTGAATGGGCACGGCCTACTGGTCCATCACCTCTTGGCTGGTGTCATCGACCTCCATGGCGGCCGGTTCATCCTTGGCAGCCTCTTCGGTGGCCATTTCGGCGGTTTGACCGCTTTCGGCCATGACCACCTCCTCAACGGCGGCTGACGGTGAAACGCGGGCCTCCTCCTCGGCCGGGGTGTCCTCCATCGGCTGGTCGTTGAGAGCCAGAGACGGCGGAGTTACCGCTGCCAATGGCGATGCCTGCGAGTCTTCTGTGTTCTCGGCAGGCGGCGTCTCGGCAGCCGAATCAGCGGCGCCCAATGGAGATTGCGGTGTGCCGGCGGCGGCACGTTCTTCAACAGAAGGGCTGGAAGCTTCCCCATCCTGCGAGTCTTCGACCGGTTCCTTGGCTGCTTCAGAGACAGCTGAATCTTCGTCGTGCTTTTTCTTATCGGCTTTTGTCTCTGCTGCCGGCTCGACATCCTCTTCCTTTTTTTCCGGCTGCGGCTTTTCTGCCGGCTCTTTTTCAGTCTTTTCGTGTTGGCTCTCCTTGGTCTCGGGCTTGGCCTCTTCCTTGGCCTCAGACTTGGTCTTCGGTATCGATTCGGCGGGAGCTGTTTCCTTTTCAGCGGACTCCTCTGCTGCTGGTGCAGAGTTAGTCTCTGTCTCAGCAGTTTCCTTTTCGTTTTCCTTTTCCGCTGCAACCGGAGCTGGTTTATCCACATCCGTCTCCTTTTCTGGCTTGACCTTGGCCGGCTTTTCCTTTTCATCTTCGGTTGGAAGCGTGGCCTTGTCTTCAGCCGGCTTTTCCTCCGGTTGTTCGTCCTTTTTGCCAGACTTATCGGTCTTCTCGGCCTCCTGCTCTTTGACGGTCTCCGGCTCCGGCCGCTCGGCCTCCTCCTTTTTGTCTTCCTCCCCTTCCTTCTTGGCAGCTGGTTCCTTCTCAGCTTCTGGGGATTTACTCAGTGGTGGCTCCTCGGCCTCCTCATCCGCAGAGGTTGGAGAACTCTCCTCCTGCTCGCTCTGCTTCTTGCTGCCGTTGACGGCGTGCTTGGTGGTCTTGGCCTCTGGCTCAGCATCCACCTCCTCGTCGGGCTCCTCGATCTCGGGAGCCTCTTGTGGGGAATCAGTCTCATCGTTGTCGTTCTTTTCCTCGTCTTTTTTGGCCTTGACGGCCACTTCCGGCTCAGCGGGCACTTCATCGGTCGCCTCAGAGCGCTCATCGCCGTCGATCTCAAGCTTGGCCTTCTTGGCTTTCGGCATGACATGATCGTCCGATCGCGGGCAGCTCGCCTTTTGGGCACCGGCTGCCGATCCCGAACTGGGAGTGGTTCCCTCTTCGGCGTTGCCATTGTTAAATAGGGCTTCGTTCTCCATTTCAATGTCGATGTTGACTTCCAACGAGAGATCGCCGTTGACCACCGAGTCCAGTGAGTCGCCGTTCTCGCTTTCAGTGCGCCTGCGTCCCGGATCAATGGTGCTAACCACTGTAAAGGATTCGGATACCAAAGATGAGCTAATTCTTTACTAAGCTTTATGTTAGGACTTACCCAAAATGTTCTTCTCTAGGGCACGCATGAACTTGTCGATGCGCGAATACTGCTTTCGGGGGTCAATGAGCAGTTCGCACAAACGCTGTACGGTGAACGGAGCTGCGTTAAAGAGATCGAGCCGCTCGAGGAGCGAAGACTTCATGGTCTCGAAGTTGAAGGGATCCACATTTGGGTAGTTGGGGATCTCTGCAACGCAAAAAAACGGACAACCAGGAACGACCGGGAAGTGAAATAAATTGCAAATCGCGACGTTCAGGATAAAAAGACGTTTAGTGAATAGAGTGAAACCAGTGGGTATGATTTTGAAAGCACACATAATTGTTAAGATCAGAATGGTCCCCATAGTAGGTAACCAACTTATTTGAAAATTTAAAAATAAAAATCGAAAAATAACCAAATAATGCATTAAACTTTCCGTTTCTTACGTTTTCAAATAATAAATCTAAGAAACAGAAAATAAAAATAAGATAGTTTTTTTCAAGTTTTTTTTGTTAACCTTTTCAAAAATATTTATTACCAACTATGGGACCGCCAAAAAAGGACGTGAAAAAAATAAAATTGCATTAAAGAATAAAGTAAATTCTTCGCTGCACAAGCAATAAGACAAACAAAAACAAACTCATAAGCACAAAACAGATGAAATTTCAGTAATAAGTTTATACAATGAAATCTTTCGAATACGATATTAAGAAGTTTAGATGTTATAACTGTTAACTCATGACAGTTCTCTGGGGAATCGGTCATGGAAAGACTTAACACTCACCCTCTAGACGCGGCGAGTCGTCGTTAAAATTCTTAATCACGCTGAGCAGCTTTTCGCGAAACAGATACTTCAGGCTGGACCACTTAAAGATGGTATCGCCGGTTTTGGCCACGTACTGTATGTAGTCCTCCAGCTCCTTGGGGATCTCCTTTTGCTTCAGGCGCGTGAAGCGCTCGAGGATTTGCAGGATTTCGTCGCTGTTCTCCATGGTGACCATTTAGGCTATCGCTGAGCGGGGAAAACTGAGTGGAAAAGCGGAGAAGAGATATTAAAAACCGGCCGGCAAGTGATGAAAATTTTCCTTCTCAAGGTAGACACACAAAAATCGAGAGAGTGAGAGCGACCGAGAAATTCGCCAAATGCAACTGTGTGCAGGTATGCGCAGCCAACATTGACATGAAGCATCTTGCATCTGTCATCTCTCTCTTTTCCTCTCGCTCGCCCTCACTCTTTCGGGGGAGGATTTGCAGGAAAACTAGTTATGCTGCACACACACTGGCTCAAATTGGCGAATTCGCAAATGCTCCTCTCCCCGTTTGCGTATGTGTGTGTTAACGGCTGCAACTCTTGTTGCCAGGCCAATGTTGCCGTTGTTGTAGCTGTCTGCGCCAGACGACCAAAAAACTAGAAAAAATATTCGAGACGCCTTGCGAATTACCAATGCAAACCGGCCCGCTGGATATTCGCACATTTCAACTGAGATCTTTGACCACCCCGTGGGTCAGTTCCACCTCCCAATCCTTCCACTAACCTGCACTAGCTGTGCTACTGCTTTCTATCACAACTACGCCTTTTAATAACACTTAAATTCGGTAATAATTGGAGCGCTGTTTCTTGTGGATTATTTTCGCAAAAGCAAAAGTGACCGTTTAACACCGCAAAGGCGCTAAGGGTGTGCGCTAGTCGATTTGCTCTTCCTTCCAGGGCAATCGATAGTTTTAGAGTGAACGTAGTACGGTACTGAACGCGGCGGTAAATTTGAAAAGTATTCAAAAGTCAAAAGCAATAAGGAAACCATATAATGAATACTTTATAAACTTTAACAAATAAAGCAGAATATCAATAATATCAAATCACAGAAACACGTAATAGAAACAACAGTCGGAGAAATAATAAAAAGTTAATATAAAAATGTTTATAAATGCTTTAATACTTTCATGCATTTACCCTCAATCATTAACTATTTGTTACGATAATAAATAGATCTAAAAAAGAGGTTCCTATATAGATCGGACTAAGTGTTTTCTGGGTAAGAATTGAGTTGAAATCCTTTTTTGTGGAGATGAGATCACTTGGTATCCGTTTGGACTATTTTGATATTTCAAATTAGTGGTCAATGGATATACAAGTATTGTCATCTTAGTGTCTCACAGAGTCCCCTTTCATAAAGTTGGCAAGTAAGCTGAATAAAAACAGTAAATTGAGTCTCCCCACATACCCCTTAAATACACACCAAATCCAAGTGTGAAGCTAATAAGTGTACAAGTCATGCGGCGATCTACAACCGAAAGTTAGCCGGCGCTCCAAATTAAGAGATCATTTCCTTTTAAAAAAATTAACTTTACTAGGGATTACCCAGTAATCGCATACAAATTTTAACTTGGAGAGAGCTTTTTTGAGGTAAATACAATCTCACAAACGACGTTTAAGAAACAATTGTATACCAATTCACTCATTTTTAATAATACTTTAATCCAAAACGTTTACCTTGAAACATTTCTATTTAAGTTTTAAAGGAGGGGCACTCACATCATCGTATAGTTATGTTTATAAGACTTGCAGTATCCCAACTTTTCCGTAGCCCACAGATACATAGGTAAAGGGAAGGAAAGGAGTCATGGGAAAGAACTTCTACGAGATACTGGGAATCGGTCGCAATGCCAGCGACGATGAGATCAAGAAGGCGTATCGCAAGTTGGCGCTGCGCTACCATCCGGACAAGAACAAGAACGTCCAGGCCGAGGAGCGGTTCAAGGAGGTGGCCGAGGCGTACGAGGTGCTGTCGGACAAGAAGAAGCGCGACCTGTACGACCAGTTCGGCGAGGAGGGTCTGCGACGTGGCCCAGCGGACCAGCGGAGCGATGCCGCCGAGAGTTTCGGCTACCAATTCCACGGCGATCCGCGCGCCACCTTTGCCCAGTTCTTTGGCTCCAGCGATCCGTTCTCCATGTTCTTCGAGGACATGAAACACATCTTCATGCCCGACGACGACGACTTTCCGTCGGGCAGGGACAGACGGCCACAGGATCCGCCCATCGAGCACGAGCTGTACGTTGGACTGGAGGACATCGCCAGTGGGTGCACCAAGCGCATGAAGATCTCCCGGCTGGCGGTCTCGCCCAACGGCCTGGCGGTCCGCGAGGACAAGGTGCTCATCATCGAGATACGTCCGGGCTGGAAGTCCGGCACCAAAATCACCTTTCGCAAGGAGGGCGACCAGCTGCCCAATCGCGTGCCCGCCGATCTCGTCTTTATCATCCGGGACAAGCCGCATTCGGTCTTCCGTCGCGACGGCAGCGACCTGCTCTACACGGCCCACATCACGCTGAAGCAGGCGCTGTGCGGACACCACCTGGTCGTGCCGACGCTGCAGGGCGAACCACTGACGCTCTCCACCCACGGCGAGGTGATCCATCCGCACTCCACGCGTCGCTTGCCGGGCCACGGACTGCCCTCTCCCAAGGACCAGTCGCATCGCGGCGCCATCGTGATCAGCTTCGCCATTAAGTTTCCGGAAACGATACCCAAGCAGCTGACCTCCTCGCTGGCCCGCCTCTTGCCCAACTGATCCGATTTGCCAAACGCGGCCACAACATTGAGATTGGTTAAAGTGTAGAATAAATTATCGAATGGGGATACGGGTGTCCTTTTGCTTATAATACAGATGTTGGAAAAGGGGTTACTATCTGCAATACAGTAGTTTAAATCATTGATCAAATACACAAGTCATAACTGAAGTCCCAGAAAACCTTCCACTCCGAGATGAACAGCTCCAACACATAATCCACGAAAGAAACACTCAAGTATAGATAATTATATGTATAATGATTAAACACATGTGCCCGCGATCAGGATTAAACATCGGTGGATCCCGGCTTGAACTGGGGATTGTGCGATCGCGCCATTTTGGCGCGCAGCCACTCGTCCGCGTGCCGCTGCTTGATGTGGACGTACATGTTGGACCGGGAGCGGCATTCCTTCGGACAGTGCGGGCAATTGTACAGTTGCAGGCCGGTGTGGATGGCCATGTGCTCGTCCAGGTTGCGCTGCTGCTTGAAGCTCTTCTCGCAGAACGTGCACTGCAGATTGGTGGTCAGCTTGTGGGCGTACTTCACATGGCCGCGGAGCGCTGTCCGCGATGTGCAGGTCTTGCCGCAGTGCGGACAGACGGTGTCCGTGCTGTCGTGCGTGAAGCGGTGCAGCCGCAGGCTGTGCTCGTTCTTTAGCCACACCCCGCACACCGGACACTCCACCGCCGGCGCCACCACGCCCTGGTGCTCCAGCAAGTGGCGCTCGAAGGAGGGCTTAAACTTGAACTTCTTGCCGCAGATGTCGCAGACGTGACGATGCAGGTCCTCGTGGATGGATTGGATGTGCCGGCGGAGTCTGTGTATATTGGCGAAGCTAAAAAGAAGCAAAAAGAAAGCAGCTATATTTTTAATCGCTACCATATTATATTCAGTTTCAAATTCGAATTCTAGTTCATTATCATACATGCCATTCGATTTGTTTATTGTAGAAATACTGATCGAAGGTACGTTTTCAAAAATCTAGATAAAAAATAATGTCTTTGAATTCGACATTTTATAAAAAGAAAAATAAATTCTTGGGCATAACGAATTTCCAATTGACAAGATTTATATATATATCTATCTCGCTCTATCTCGAGTTTATAGATTCATATACTAAAGTTCTAATTGTAAGTAGTTTATGAGCTTCAGTAATCGATGCTGGCTTCCTTAACTGCTCGGTAATTAACTTATAACTAAAAAAGCTAGTTATTCAATTTAAAGAGAGACTTTTTGCGTCCTCACCTTTTGCAGCAGATCTCGCAGGTGTGTTCCAGCTGGTCGGTGTCGTGCTTGGCCAGGTGATTGGTCATCCGCCTCTCGCTGCTAAAGGTTCGCTCGCACTTGGTACAGGGAAACTTCAGCACCTTGCCGATCTGGGCGACCTTGTTATGCACCGTCTCAATGTGGGTGGCCAGGTAGTCCTGCGAGTTGAGCGACTTTTGGCAAATGGTGCAACTTTCGGGGGTAAAAATCTGTAGAACAGAAATGGCTTCTCTTTTTCGTTCGGCGGACTCACGTGAAGAGCTTGGGATTGACATGCTTGCGGATGTGGTCCATCAGCTTGGAAGCCCGCGTGAAGATCTTGCCGCAGCACTTGATGTAATACTCGCGCTGGTGCACCTCCAGGAAGTGTGTTTTGAGCTCGGATAGATACGGTGCGCTGAATTCGCACAGATCGCAGTTTGCACTCATGTAGCTGGCGATGGCCTCCTCGTAGCGCTTGGCCAGCTGGGCGCGCGAGCAGCCCTTGGGTTTGCGCTCAAGCACGGCCTGCAGTTCGGTCTCCTGCACCTCCGTGGGTGCTCGCTGGCCACCTGGCTTCCTGCGTGGCCGCTTGTTGCCATCGTCGTGTAAATCAGCGAGTTTCCGCTGCAAGGAAAGTGGACCCTGATCCCTGGAGCGCGCCACTGATTTTCGCTTGGACTTTGTCTTGGTTTGCAGCCGGACCAGGGGTTCATCTTCTAGGGAGCAGGAAATTAGTTACTGTAGATCGTGGTAAAACAAAGAGATAACCACCATCCGAGGAGTTTTCGTCGAGCTGAAGCTCGGGTGCCTCCGGTTCGCTTTCACCAGCCTGCAAGCTGGGTTTTTCGTCCTCCGCCTCGGACCCGCAGGGCAGCCGCTCTTTAACCTGCTCCCTGACCTCCACACTGTCTACATTCACGTCCAGAACGCTGCCCAGCACGCTCAGGTTGTGCAGGTCCAGCGGCTTTTCGTCCATGTCGCCCGCAGCCAGCGGCAGCTCGTCGATATTAACGTCCACGTCTACGCCGCTCGTCCACTTCATTCCCGCGCAGTCGACATCCACGGGGAGGAACTCCTTATTCAGCGAGCACTGTTTCTGCTCCACCAGCTGCCAGAAGGCGTTGAAGTCCTCCAGGTGCTCGCAGCAATCGGTGCACACGCTCGTCGAGATATCATCGTCCGGCAGAATCTATATATGCAGTCTGTTGGCTGAGTTGGTTCTTTGTGGGCCACTATTGATGATGCACTTACCTCCAGCTGCAGGAATTTGGCGATCATCTTGACCAGGCGCGTCTCTGCAAGCGTATCGTCCGTCTCAAAAAGAAATACAGCACTCCCTGGACTCAGGCAGCGCAGGCACAGGCGACAGATCATGTTATTTCGATGGAATCACAACGAAAACCAAGTAAATGCAGTTTTAATTTTGCAATTTTGTAAACAACATAATTAGGGATGTCATTAAAATTAGGGATGGCAAAAGTCTCCATCAGGTGGGCTTTCAGCAGGGTGGCAACGCAAGATAAAGTTGTAGCTCAATAACGGTCAGTAATGCATTTAGAGAATTTATTATCTTAAATTCATCAATTCTAAATACGGTTATGAAGCAAAATAAAAATAAAAAGGTAAAATTGTGCTTTATGGGCTTTTGGGAAATAAATTATTAAGAGCTACCTTGGGACCTAAACATTAAGAAAAAACTGGTGGAAAGCGTGATTTCTAATTATTTATTTGTTTAAATAGCAATAATCTCTGCCGCGAGACAATCCGTTTTACCGGAAGAATGTATTGTGGATAAAGAGTGCTGCAAATGTGTGAAATGGTAATAACAAAAGAAATTAAATAATTTTACCATGTCAAACACTGACAATTTTAGTTCTCAACGATTTACAGGTTGCTTAATGACTCAGAGTGATTTCATAGTACTGATCCAGAAAAGCTACTGTCAATTGCTTTTTGCTATTTTTACAAATAAATAATTTAAAATCACGCTTTACGACACTCTTTTATGAATATTTTGGCCAAAGGCCCTAAAGCACAATTTTACCATAACGAATACCCTCACTATTTTAAAAGAGACCCTGTCACCTTTCGATTTCCACTCCTATTGATAACGATAACCGTCGACGATTGGGCACCACCGCGGTACACCCACTCACATCTGGCAACGCTTGCCGTAAAATGGCAAAAAAATAATACATACGATTTAAAACTAATGGACAATTACGTATTACGTGAAAAGAACGCATCGCAAATATTTAAAACCCAATTGCCAATCAGCCCAGTGCAGTCGCGAGTGTGCGTGTGTGCAAATCTCCAGCAAGGAATATAAGTAAATCCGTGTGAAAAGTGATTTGAACGGGTTTCGGAATCGGAACCGAGCACTTGGGCCTCCTCATCCGATACCATTTTCCATCTACACTTGCAAAAAGCGACAGGCGTGAGAGAGACGGCGCGAGTGAGCGGAGAGGGAGAGCGCAGAGAGCTGCGACTGCGAGCGAGTGCGAGCGAGAGCGCTGACAAAGCCAGCGCAACACAGGCACAGCGAGAGGCAAAAATCGCAACGAAATCGAAATCACAATCGAAATTCAAGCAAATAGAAGATTTTGGCGAACAAAGACTGCCAACGGCTGTCTACTAACAACAACGTCTCGCTGTCATCGGGTGCGCTCTCTTGTTTTCGCAAGCGGCGAATCGGCGCTGAGTAAGCGCCAGAAAGAGTGCAAAAAAGGAGAAGGAAAGAAAGAAAGAAGCCAAGGAGCAACGAACTGTGTTTGCGGTGTGTGCTCTGCGTGCAAACGGGTAAGCTCTATGTTCTCTCATGCTCGCTCTCGCTCTGGTCGAGATGGCCGGAATCGAGATGTTGGCAAGCAGGGATTGAAAATTCTGGTTAATTTTGTGTGATGGTTCCTATTCCGCCGGTTTCCGCTTAAAATCTTGTCTTAATCGAAAATGCTTTAGCTGGCTTGGTTAAACTCGCTGCATTCGAGAGGGAGCGCACGGGGCGCGCTTATCCTGCTATCCCGTTCTTTCCCGCAACAGCGTTGCATTTGTCGGCGGCAGGTTTTTGCTTTTTAGTTTTGTTTCTATAAGCAAATATTTTGTACCAATTTGTGTATAACCAGAAAACAAGCCATGGGGTAAGGCTTTATAATTGCTAAATAATCGCGAAGTGCTTATCGTCCTGTCACCCCTGCATTAATTATCTTAGCGGTCTGGCCAGGTTTTGCCACCCCAGGTGGCAACACCATGCTCCACACCACTCACACGCACGCAATACATGCGAAAAGTGCGAAGTGGAAGAAGAAGAACTCGACGAAGAAGAAGCAGCGGCAAACTTTACGTTGGACGGTGGAAAGCAGAATTAAAATTTTGCACTTTATGCGAAATAAAACAGTTAGCCGCAGTCGAATATCCGATAGACAGACAGCCGAAAATATTGGCAAATCGCGGAACGTTCGAAGTAAACAAATTTCATCATTTTCCATTCAGTTTCTCGCCATCGCTGCCTAACAAACGAAACTCCCCGAGTGTGTGCGGCTGTGTGCGTGCGGTGTTTAAACGGTATATTTCAATCTTCTCTTCGCTTTGTTTGCTTTCGCCAGCCACTGTGTACATGCATACACATGCAAATATAAATAAAAGGACCTGGATGTAAAACAAAAAAAATTGCAATCGCCGATTAAATAATAACTATCAAAGCCTTTCGCTCTCTGTGTTTGTGTGTGTGTGTGCCTGTGATGGTGTTGGTGTGCGTTGTGCTTGTGAATGGTTGTTATTAGAAAAAGGAGAAAAATAATTGTTGCCAAGCGTTTACATTGTCTTGTATTCCCACACTTACATCAGTCAAATTACTTACATCTTAAGTTCCCTGCACCGGGCATTGTTGTTGTTGTTGGGAGGATTTTACTGGCCCCGTTTTTATATTGTTGCTGTGGTTGTCAGCCATTGTTCGTTCGCCCCTCCACGCCCCCCTCCCAACAGTTATTACAAGACGCCACCGCAAAAATTCTTTCAATGCGTTGCCGCTTCTGCCGCTGATGTGTGGGCAGAGCAGTCTAGCCATCTTTCTCCCACTGCCGTCCACCTTATTCGGCCTCTCAGTTGCGTGTGTTCAGAGAGGCCCTGGCTGTCCTGCTCGCACCAAACATTGGTTGCACCCAGGGGCGGATCGAGGGGGTTACTGGGGATAGTTGCCTCCCAAACGTTTTCGTAACGAACGCAATATCACAACAAAATTCCTAATTGATTTTCAGTACTTATACAGTTATCCAAGCTTATTTGTTAAAATATAGTAAAATTGATATTAGATATTTCATATTTCTGTTGGCTTAAAACTGCTCTTTAGTATTTCGGCCCAAAATTATAAACAATTATGTTTGGAAATACAATTCATTAGTTTATGCTTAAGAGCCGATCACACAATATTTGATTTCGAGACTGATTTAAGACCCTAATTTTAAATCCACTAGATGGTATCTTCAAACGCCAGTTAGTAGTTAGTGGGTGTAAATCTGAAAAAAACGATTTTTCCCTAGTTTTATTTTCTTTTGCACGTGGGTTAGTTCGTTTTAATAAAGAGGTTTATCATAAGTAGACTTACTTTTTCTACCAAAATCAAAAGTTTAAATACTTTTCAATACCTACCGCTATTTTTATTCATTTGAACAAAAAGTTGGCTTAAAATAAGCAGGTAAAAATAAGTAATTTTTTTTTTTTTAGAAAGTTTCCCAATAACTTTGATCTTGATCCGCCCCTGGTTGCATTAGAGGTGTATGTAGATCGGGTGGGGGTTGTGCAAAAGAGGAGTTTCCAAGGCAGGGGTACCAAAACATAAAACAAAAGGCGGGCAGTACTCGATTACCCGATTGCAACTGACTCGCTTGCACTTGTACTCAATTTTATTGTAAATTCTGCTTACAGCTCATCAGAAAGACTGAAACAAGGAGCTTCGGCGGTTCCAGCAACTTATCCTCATCCAGAGCCACAGCCACATCCTAGCCACATCCTCCAGCGCAGCGGGAAGAAGAGGAGCGCGGCGGCGGCGAGAAGGAAGCTAACGCTAATGAGGATCTATTGGCAGCATGAGTACACTGGGGGGAAGTAGGGGAGAGCGAAATGCCAAGCCCAAATTCACAGCGTTGGATATAAATCGCATGTACAAGAATAGCCGCGTAAGTAGAGTCAAGATCTAGATCGATTCCTCCCAACATTATCTAGTTACTTACTTGTCTTTCTTTTTCTCCTTTGCAGGGCGAATCGAGTGAACCATCTGCACAAAAGAATCAAGTGCCACGTAAACATGGAATGCAAATCTTGGGCAAAGTGCCGTCCGCTAGGCGACCACCAGCCAATCTGCCATCCCTGAAGGCCGAGACGCACACCAGCAGCAACAACAATCTCCTAGTCTCAGTCGAAGGTTGGTGTTCTTTCAATGTCTATCGCAAATCAGAGACCATGTAACTTAACCTCTTGTTTTTTTTTTGTTTTCTGTAAAAGGAGCCACATCTGGAGGAGCGGGAGCAGGCGGAACAGCGGGAGCAGGCGCGGCAGGAACCAACACTAGCCACAGCAACACCACTGCCCACAGCGGAAGTTCAGGAGCAGGCGGCGGAGCGGGATCTGGAGGAGGTGGAGCTGCATCGTCGTCAACTGGCGGTCTTCATAGCCAGCAGCAAGCCCACATCCAGCATCAGCACAACAACAACGTCGGCCTCGGCCCGAACGCTGGAAAGTTTGTGAACAGCAGCAGCAGCAGCGGTAGCAGCAGCAACAACAACGCCGGCGGCTCAGGCGGCGGCAACAAGAACTTCAAATTAATCAACAACTCCGTGGGAAGCTCCGGCGGCGGAGGCGGATCCGCAGGATCAGGCGGAGGTGGCTCAACGGGCGGAGGAGCAGGCGGAGCAGGTTCTGGATCGGGCGGACACTCGATCAACTCGCCGAAAACATGGTCTGCCATTACCACAGGACACGAGCGTGGCTCGGGCGGTCAGAACTTTGGCCGCCAGCAGCAGCAGGTGGTGCCCCACTATCAGAGTCCGCAGTTCCAGTACGAGTTCCCAACGCTGGACGGCACAGTTGGCAGCGGCGCCGGCGGCGGATCGAGCGGAGCGGGTGGACTCGGATCCGGGTCTGGAGCTGGCAAGAGCCACTACCAAAACCAGGCGCACCATGCCAGCCACCAAAACCACCACCAGCACCAGCAACACCACCAGCAGCAGCACCAACAGCACCACCACCAGCAGCAACCGCACCATCGCGACTACCACCATGGCCACGGTCGCCAATATGGCCACCACTCGCATCGCGACTACAGAGATGGCAGCGACGACGTCGGCGGCGGCGGCGGCGGGAGCGCGGATCTGGGCGAGATGAGCCTTCGTCCGCAAAACGACACGGCCGCCTGGCTGCAGCAGCAGGAGAAGGCGGCCAAGGTTGCGGCGGCGGCGGCAGCGGACCAGGGTCTCAACCTACAGGGCCCGGGCCACCACCAGATGGGGGGTAACGGAGGCGGCGGCGGCGGCGGCGGAGGCTCCGGCGGAGCAGTGCCCCTGCCCATCCTGTCGCTGATGCCCTCGTTCATGCGCAGCGGCGCTCCATTGCCCACCGGCGGAGCGACAGCGGCCAGCATCTTGGCCGGCGGATCCTTGGACTCCTCGGCCCTGCCAAGCGCTCCCTACCAGAACGGCATACTGGGTGCTCGTTCCGCCTCGCCGGCAGTGGTGGGCAGCGGCGGCTTCCGGGCGGCCACTGCCATTCCCAAGCGACCAACGGCCTCCTCGTCGCCTCCGCAATCTGGCCTAGGCATCGGAGGATCACCCACTCCGCCACAATCCCAGCAGCAGCAGGCCAACGGGGCTGGCGGTGGAGTTGGGCGCAAGGACAAGGACTATGTGGTGGAGCCGGAGGTGGCCCAGATGCAGCGTCCCATTATTCGCGAGGAGGACCTGGAGCGCCTCAACGCCATCGCCAAGGACGACAGCTGGACCAAGCAGGACGACATTGACTACACGAAGAAACTAACATTCTCGGACGACGAGTCCACGCCGGAGGAGCACCAGGGCCAGAACAAGCAGCAGCACGGCTCCGCCCAGCAGCAGACACAGGGATCCTCCTCCTCAGTATTGGGTGGAAACGATCAACGCAAGCTGCCCATCTCCACATCCAGTTGGCAACGCGGCAAGGAGAGCACCGATCGCGATCAGCCCACGGAAATCCATCAGGATCACCAGCATCAGCAGCAGCAGCAGGAGATCCGCCAGCAGAACGGTCATCGTGGCAGCTCCGGCAACGTGGGTGTGCCGGTGGCCGGTGGCATCGCATTGGATGCCAGTGTCTATGAGCGAGTGAAGCAGCGCAAGGAGGAGGAGGAGCGTCGCGAAATGGAACGCAAGCAGGCGGCTGCCAAGAAGCTGCAGGAACTCGAGATGAAGATGAATCGAGCAGCGGCGGCAGCTCTGGCCAGTGGCGAGGGCGGAGCCCTGTCCTCCTCCGGTTCCGCATCGCTGTCCAACGAGGTGCCTCCACCGTCCGCTCCACTGGGCAATGTCAGCGAGGACGAAGGCGGAGGCCAAGGTGGCGGCGGCGGCGGCGGTGGCCTGCACCGACGACCCCGGGGAAGCATCTCCAGTTTGGGGAGTGGCGTCACTCCAACGGGAGGAGCTGGCTCCGGCGTTGGAGGCGTATCCTCCTCCTCGTCAGCAGGCGGCGGTGACTACGGCCAGAAGACCTTCCTCACCCATTTCCAATCGAACCTACCACCCCGCTTCCAGCGTCAGCAGCAGCAACAACAGCAGCAGCTGCCGCGCTTGGAGAAGAGTGCTTCGGCCAGCAGCGCCTTCGACAGCAATTCCCGCTACCTGCAAAAGGGTGGCGTAGGCGGAGGACAAGGAGGCGGCTCCGGCGGCGGCGGCGGCGGCGGAGGAGCACAGACCAACGCTGGTCAGGGGCGCAGCATCTCCGGCGGTTATGCGCAGCGTGGAGCCAGCGTTGGCGGCAGCGGCGGCGGAGGAGGTGGATACGGACGCAATCGACATGACAGCAGCAGTGCTCGCGAGGATCAGGAGCTGGAGCAGCAGCAGCAGCGGTTCACCCGCGGTCAGGACTACCGACAGGCGCAAACCCTGCCGCGCAGCATATCCGAGAATTCACATCGCAAGACGAGCGTTTCCTCGGCAGGCGATGATGTCCTCGGTGGCGGCGGCGGCGGTTCGTGCTCATCGTGGGCGGAGCAAACGGATGCCGAACAGAAGGTCCACCACCGACACCGCGAGGAGAGCTTCTCGTCGACCCACAGCCACGACTCGGCGGTGCAGATAAAGATCCTGCAGCGGCCGGCGCGACAGCCGAGCCTCAGCGAGGAGACCTCGGCCCAGCAGAAGCAGGTTCCAGCCTCGCCGCAGCAGCAGAAGACCCTGTCGTCGGACCCCATGCCCACGCAGATCCTGCGACGCAGCGTGGAGATCGAGAAGCCGGGCGACGAGCGGCCGGACGACAAGTCTGCACTGGATTCGGAGGACAAGGCGAAGGTAGCCGGCGGCAAGGTGGATGACGACAAGACCGGAAACAAGCGACCGAGTCCCAGGAGCGGAGCAGCGTGCGGAGGTCGCGGTGGACGCAGCTACACCAGCGGCAGTGGCGGACCAGCCGTCGGATCGGGCAGTAGCTATCGCGGCCAGAGGAGCGCCAGCGACTGGGGCACCAGTCGTGGCAGTGGCGGCAGGCGCTACTACGGCAGCGGTGGCGAGCAGTCGGAGCACTCGGAGGACGTGGACGAGGACTGCTACAGCAGCGGCGGCGGCGGCGGAGCGGGAGGAGCAGGAGCAGCACGTCGCAGTCCCAAGGAAGCCGGCAGCAATGCACCCAATTCCGGCCAGGCGTCGGCGAACAAGGCGGGCTTCTCGCCACGCGGCGAACCCTCGCGACGTGGACGCGGTGGTCTGTCCAGCGGCGGTGGCGGCGGCGGATCCGCATCCGGTTATCGACGCCAGCCCGTGGGCACCGGCTCCGCTGGAGGAGGATCAGGTGCGGGAGGAGCGGGACGCAGCTATGGAAGACTCGGCTACGAGGAGTACGGCAAACAGCAGCGCACCTCCGAGTCGGAGCAGGCGGACCTGGACAAGACCAAGCAGAACCAGCTGGCACTCAGCGCCGGTCTGCACAAACCCAGCAAGGATGACAAGGATTCGTCGGCGCTCAGCGGCGAGGAGAAGGACAAGACTGCCGCCCTGGTGGCCCCCGCCCACAACACTGCCCTGCTGGCTAAGGACGAGCTGCAGAAGGATTCGGCGGGTCGCCTGCCTCCGGGCCTCGCAGCGACGGCAGCTTCGGTGGTGGGACCAGCGTCCGTGGCGTCCGCATCGATCGCAGCTCCCGGCAGCTCGGCGGTGGACAAGAAGAAGGGTGAGTCCTGTGCCGTCGTCGTCGTCGGCGGCGAGAAGGTGCCGGTCAGCAAGTTGCCGGCCATCGGTGAGAAGACATCGCTCGGCGCCGTCGGTTCGGGTCCGTCGACCAATCTCCTGCTGGACGCCGGCGCTCCCGTCAACACGATCATCTTCGAGAACTCCACATACAAGCAGCAGGCGGCGGCCGCCGCCGTGGTGGCCAAACCCGGTGGAGCTCTGTCGGTGTCCAGTGGCGGCGCCACCATGACCGTGGACAGCCTGTCCAGTGCCCTATCGCAGATGAGTTTCGGCGGCAAGGCGACGGCGGCGGGCGCTGGCGAGGACTCGCAGGACATGAAGCTCGGATTCAGCTTCGGCGACGACCCCACCGCGCCCCTCAAGGTGGTGGACACCATCGACAAGGCGGCCAGCCAGCAGCAGCAACAGCAACACTCCCAGCAGCAACAGCAGCAGCAGCAGCAAAACAACTCGACGGCGGATCTCAACATGAAGATTGCGAGCGTTAAGAAGGTCTGGGAATCGGCCACGCCCATGTCCGATGGCCCATCGCCGGCAGGGGCGATGCAGCAGCAACAGCAACAACAGCCGCAGCAGCAGCAACAGTCGCAGGTGCAGGTGGTGTCGCAGCAGCAGCAACAGCAGCAGGTGGTGGGACCGCAGCAGACGGGCGACGATGGCAGCGGCCACATGAGCGCCGCCTCCTTTGTGGCCGCCGTGGCCGCCTCGCAGCACCAGCAGCAGCACCAGCAGATGCCCCACTATGCGGTGTCGGCGGTGCACATGCAGAGCCACCACCATCAGCAGCAGCAGCAGCAGGCGGCGGCAGCGGTGGCGGCAGCGCAGGCGCAGCACCACCAGCAGCAGCAACAGCAGGCGGCGGCGGCGGCAGCGGCCCAGGCGCACCACCAGCAGCAGCAGCACCATGCGCTCTCCTCGCCGGGCCCGGTGCCCGGTGGCCATGGCCATGGCTACGGCCACGGATCGCCGTTCGACGCGGGTTCGTTGGAGCAGCAGTTCCAGCAGGAGGACTACCCCAGTCCCCAGCAGCAACAGCAGCAGGCGCACCAGAAGACCAAGCAGCTGCAGCAGCAGCAGCACCTGGGCATGTCCCCGCCGCCCAGCCAGCAGCAGCAGCAGCATTCGCAGCAGCAGGCGCACCAGCAACAGCAGCAGGCCCACCAGCAGCAGCAGCAGCAGCAACAACAGCAGCAGCAGCAGCCGTCGTTCTACCAGGCGTCACCGCAATTCGGAGTTGGGGGCATTCCCACGATCCCCAGCCCGCCGGCGGTGGTGTTCAACTCGTCGCAGATGCCGCCGCCGCCGTCGCAGGGCGGCAATCTGTACGCTCCATTCCATTCGCTCGATCATTCGAGCCGTTCGCCCGCCTACTCGGCGGCGGCGGCCGCCCACAGCTTCCCCAATCACTATGCAGTGGCGGCGGCAGCGGCCGCGGGCGGCGGTCCCTTCAACGTGAACGTCAACGCGTACGCCATGCAGACGCCGCACGGCGGCAGTCTACCGCCCACGGCGCCCACACCGGACATGTACTCCAATCTCTCGTCACAGTTCCGACTGGGCGGTGGTCCCGGCCCCGGACCCGGACCCTTTGGCCAGCCCAGTTCGCAGCAGCTGAGCAATCCGAGCAACTTGAGCAACCACGCGGCGGTGGCCATCATCTCGTCCAGCAGCAACTCCATGATGTCGTCTGGCGCGGCCAAGCCGCCGCCCAGTCAGCAGCCCATCGGGGCCATAGGCTCCAAGTCGGCGGGCAGCGGCGGTGGTCCGGGACCGGGACCCGGTCCCTATGCCACCACCCAGCAGTACATGAATCTTTATGCCGGCCCGCCGCCACAGCATCCGGGCCAGGGCGGTCCGCCGCCGGGCGCCCATCAGCTGCAGTCGAACAGCTACTACTCGAATTCGGCGCCGGGCGGGCCGAGCGGACCGCAGTTCTACGGCGGACCACCGCCGCAGGGCAACGGCGGTGCGCAAAACTACGGGCTGGCCACCGCGGCCGGCATGTACGGCGGCCATCAGGGCGGACCGCCCGGATCGAATGGTCCGCCGGGACCGCCACAATCGCAGCACACGATGGGCACGTTCAATACGCAGTTCATGAACTCGCAGCTGTTGACGGCGGCCAGCATTAATCAGTACCGCGGCGGACCGACGCCCGGAGCGGCCTACTTGAAGGGCAGCCAGGGACAAGCCCACATGCAGGACTCGGTAAGCAGAGGACACTACATCGCACCACTATCCACTATCCCATACCGTTAATACCATCATGTTGTCGTTTTCCCAGTTATTCGCAAGAGAAAGAATTCCAGACCTTTTTCTTTTGAACGGAAGGTGGCTACGAGTTTAAGCAAGATTTGGAGCCAGAAGAGATTTGCAAGAAGATATATATATATTTTGTTTAAATCGTTGCATTTCATTAGTAAAGAAATCATAAATTGTCGTTTTTTTAGTTTCGTGAACAAAAAATACCAATTTGGAATCGAGTTTCGGCAAAATTGCAAGAAATGATGTATTATTTTGATATACTCCAATCGGTAGTTGTTTGTTTTTTATCTTCAGTAAAGAAAGAAGTTGGCTTTAATTTAAACTGTGTAAAGGTTAAATGTTGAACAAATACAATACAATATATATTGAACAACTTTTCTTGGGGTCGCTTGGCGTAAGTTTTAAAAAATTCTTACTTGAGCAGGATTTTCAATTGTCAAATTCAATATTTACGAGGGAAGTCCTGCAGGGATGATACAATTTTAAATCGACATAAAGTGCCGTTAGTTAGCAGTTCGTTATTAAAATATAACAGTATTGGAAAATTAGTTTTTTTAGTGTGGAAAATCGTGCAATTCATAGGGAATCCTTTTCAAAGTCACACTTCCCTTTCCCTTGCATCACTAGCATGCAATAAACGCATTATGTTTAAACAATATATTAACCATTTTCTATATTTTTTTTTTTTGCTTAGATGGGTCGACAGCTGAAGAGTCCATTGAGCGCGGACATGAGTCTCGGTTTGGCCAAGCAAGTGCAGTCGCAGCCCAGTCCGCCGCACCACAAGAACTACGGAGCGGTAAGTAGCGCTACCTACCCAAGCGATTACTCCTGCTAATAAGCTCACCTCCTTCTTCTTTTAGTGGGATCTGCAGAACCAGGTGCTGCAGCAGCAGCAGCAATCTCAGCAGCAACAGCAGCAGCAACAGCGGCAGGGCGGCGGCGGTGGCGGCAACGGGCCCAACATGAACGCCTTGGGCGGCCGCGGAAGCGGAGCGGTGGGCAGTGGCAGCGGCAACGGAGGAGGCGGTGGCTCCCAGGTGGGCGGCAATGGCGGTGGCAATGGCGTCGGCAGCGTTGGACAGAGTGGCGGCGGCCAGGGACGCTATCCCACGCCCATCCAGCGGCCGAACAACTACCCCCAGCATCCGCAGCAGCAGCAGCAACAACAGCAGCAGCAGCAACAGCAGCAGCGTGACCAGGCGGCGGCAGCAGCGGCGGCGGCTCAACGGGCACAGAGTATGCGTCAGGTGACCGGAGGCGGTGGCGGCGTGGCCGGAAGTGCCGGTGGCGGAGGCAGCAACACACCTGTAGGTCCGCCCGGTGGCAATAACGGTGGCAATGGCGGTCCTGGTGGAGCCGGCGGCGGCGGAGGAGGAGCTGGAGGAGCGGCGGGCTCCGGACCTGGAAAGCCCTACTATGCGAATAACGCCTCCGGTGCGGGCGGTGGTGCAAATCGGGGTGAGTGGCATGCGAACTGAGCGCCAGGTGGCCACCATCCACCGCTCAGACCACCCCATCAGCCACCCACCAGCGAGACCCCGATAGAAGGACACAGAGATTGAGATACGAACGGTTAGCAGAGGAGGAGGAACACGGCCAAGAGCTGGAGGAGGAACGCGTATCTTATTCAAAACGGAGAGGACACGAGCGACAACAAAGGAAGAAGAAGCCAGGAGTAAAACTAGGAAAGTGGAATATATACAACACATGCATAAACAAACAAGCGACACACAAGCATCCGACCTTCGAGCAGCAGCTGCATTTGTGTGCAAGTGCAAGCAAGGAAGCAAGGGGGCGATGGATGTGATGGTGATGATGAGTCGGAAAGTGGAAAGTGGAAAGTGAGCTATATTGGGGGCTTCCTCGTCACAACCGCAAGCAAGCAGCAGGCAACTCAGCAAAATCAGCTATATCAGCTAAATCAGCGAAAGCAACAGTAACAGTAGCGAAGAAAGTAATCGTAAGTCGAAAGTGAGAGGACGAAAGGTTCAACAGGAAACGAGTAAGGAAAAACTATAATTGCAAGAATAAATATTTAAAACAAAACATAAACAAAAACAAAAACACCACACCACACCACACACACACATGCATACATTTACATATACATACATACTTACATAAAATAGCAGATTGTATTTTTTGTCAAACAAATTTACATAATAATATATTACTTTTATATACTTATGATTTTTTGTAGTAGAGTCTTTCTCCTTTAAACAAAACAAAAAAAAAAAAACAAACGAAACAACAAAATGAACCTTTGGCACTGCGTATGCTTTAATTTCTTTATATATACATATTGTTTAATTTTTTGCAACCAACAAAAAATCAACTAATAATTCTAATTTATGTTTATGCTACAATATACATTATATATACAATCTATCTATCTATCTATATCTATCGATATCAATCTTTCTGTGTAGACAGCGAATAAGAGAGAGAGAGACAGACAGACAGAGAGAGAAAGAGAGACATAGACAGACAGACAGAGAGAGGGCGAACGAACGAGAAGGAGAGAGTTTGTTTAAGCGCAAAGTTAAGTTCAAACGTAAAACAAATACATATAGAAATCTTGTCGTCTTATAAACAACAACAACAACTAACTACAACAAATAGACACTTGCGTCACAAATTGTACTCGGTGGGCTCTATATTGTTATATATAGTAAACTAAACCCTGATCCTAACTAAAACTAAAAACTAAAACAGAGGGAGAAACGAAAAAAAATGGACCCAAGCTTAAATTTGAAAACAGTGTTCAGCGCAATCGCACACGGGTGGCAACGCCGCCGACACCCTCGCAGCCAGCGCTGCCACCTTGGCCGCTGCCATCGATAATTATCTGATCGATTATCATTAACCCGCCAGTCCTGCTGCAATTCAAAAACCGGAAATGCAATCGACGCGAAAGGACGTACGTTTATGCTCACGGTAGAATGCCAATAGTAGCGAAACGTAACGGGGAGGTGAGGCGGCTAAAATTTAAAAGATTTATATAAATGTGTAATTCAATATGTAACTGTAACTTAACAAGGATACGATATGTATGGCATATACTACACACGGAAACTCAGACACACACAAACACACATATACACATAAATATATATATATATATATATATATAGAGGCAAAATCCAAGCGAAAAACAAAAACACTCCAGCAAACATTTTTAAGGAAAGCAAAAACCCACACATATATCCCAGTAACAGTAATTAATACGATTATACTCTGATCGAAATCCGGCGGAGAGGGGCACGGATCTCCGAACCAAACGAAATCCCTGCCCCGCCCCGCAGGGCTATGCGACTAAATGTAGTAGAATTAATAATAAATTAACAATGCAAGAAAAATAAGAAAAGCAAAAGCAAAGCACTTTTCGCTAGGCTTCTGAAAAAAAACCGAAACAAGAAACCGAAACCGAAACCATATAGCGATATTAATTAGTCTACAAACACACACACAATCTCTCTCACACTCGCCCCCAGCCACGCCCACATATGAAAAACCCAAAATATTTGGGACGTTTGCTATGCCAGGCAATGTTTAGTTATAAACAAACAAAAAAAACAAAAACAAACAAAAACCCTAAAGAAATCGAAGGCAAACAAAAATTAATGAAATGATGAGTAAAAGTAAAAAAAGGCAAGCTTGCTATCACACAATACATGTAAAAGGTATATTATATAGCATATTGATAAATGATATAAACATTAATTTATACCTATATTTTAAATGCATCATCTGGTTTTTCGTCTCCACCAAAACGGACAAGACAAGGATAGCAACAGCATAAGCATGATAACGATTACGATAACGATTAGGCAGGAAACGGAAGGAAGATGGTGGAAGACTAGATGGTGGAGAAGAAGAGTACGTGGCATATATGCTTACGAATATATGTAAACCATTTTTACATTCAATTCATTCAAATTAATTTTTAGTAATACTGAAATTTCGATAAACTGGGGCACCGAATGCTCCGCCCCCGCCCCGCCCCTCAAAATAAGTCCCTACCCACGAAAACGAAAAAGAGGAAATTTAAAGCAAGTTTGAAATGAAATAAAAACTTTAAATAAAATATTAAAAACAGAAAACCAAAACCAAAAAGGAAATCAAACCCGAAGTTTGGCACATGTCTTCCTAGAATGTTTAAATTACTACTAATTTCACTTCGCGATTTACAATTGTAATCGCAAGGGTTGGAATGTATGGATTTTTTTACTTCCGCTGCAATTTAAAAATCTAGATAAATTGCTTAAAGACCGCTTATGGTAGTTTTTAGCTTTTCATATAAATATTTTTTTACTGATTAAGATCTTAATTTTTTACTTTTCCTTTGTGAAATCTTAACTGAAAAGCTACAAAAGCCATGGAAAGATATTTTTCTGCTTTTTTCCGTTCTAAAATTAACATTTTCGTAAAACTAATATGACCGGGAAAATAATTAAAATATGGACTTAAGCTTTTATTAACAATGAGTCTTCATAATCGTCAGTTTTTTCATTGTTAGACTTGAGTTATAATGGAAAAGGCGGACTCAGAATTGCACCAATTTTAAGAACTTGAGAAATCAACAAAAATTTGCGCCTAATCTGCTTCTGCATCTGCAGAAGGGTTTAAGGGGCATTATTAATCAGTTCAGGTCCAGTCAGTCGTGCCAAATGACTTTGTAATAACTTTCTGAGGTACTGCGAACTTTTTAGGGGGCTTTTATATTGCTGGACACTTTTCCTGTGGGAGATTTACTTCTAGATCATCTTAAAAGCAGAGGAGTTATCATTTGTTATTACAGGCTTTTCCCAAACATTTAAAAAAACACTCCTCCACGAAATGTGGAGATGAAGGTCCCTTGATCACTTTGGGTAAGGTGGACACAAGTGACCGAGAGATTGTCAGCGAACTTCCAAAGGATTCGCAATTGAGATGCAATAAATTGAAGCGGGCGCCCAAGGATCGTTACATAATGCACTTGGGGGTTCAGTGTGTTACATTCTCAGCTTATTTATTCCTTCAAGGTCTTGCACTACACATAAAATAAACCCGCCTCCGCAAACTGGAGGCGTCTGACCCGGAGAGTCCGGTGATGGTGTTCCCGAACCCAAAACTCCGAAAGTGGCGGACTTTGGTGGCTCTACTTCTTCTTGGGCTTCAGCACCTGGTAGGCGATCAGCAGGCCCATCACGGCGTACGTGGCCTTGGCCACCTGAAGTCGAGAGAACGGGTGGCAAACACCAAGGCATTAAGATTGGGGAAGTCTCCAGGAATCAGCAATACTTACATTAGCACGGCCGCTCATGGTGGTGCCATTGAAGATCTTCGACAGGCCGGTCAGTTTCTCGCCTTCGCCAGCCATTTCTGCGGATCGAAAGATATATGCTTGAATTGAATCTCTACCTGGGTGACCCACCGGTGTTTCCTACTCACTTCACGGTTTATTTGCACGGAATTCGAGCTGCAGAAGTCCAAGTAAAAATTATTTGCGGCGAGGTTATACAACTGGGCCGAGTGTTGGAAAACGTCTCGTTCAGTGCTGACAGGTGATGCACCGCCTCCCCAAATACTCTAAAAAATCCCTCTTGCCGCTAAATTCGCATCAGCGCCAAATCTATCCTTTTACCGAGTTCAGCACTGGTTGGAGCCTCGGATTGGGCCCTTTCTGAACAGAAATGTTATGTCGGAATGTTAGAACATCTTAACATTTCTGTTAGAGCGATTTTTTCCCTTTCGAAATTTCTATAAAATGGATTTGCTGAAAATTGTCCAAGTGTCCATACCTTTTTTAATTGTGATCAGATTTTGACGTGGCATACCATTTAAAGTTTGTATTTTAATTCTTTAACTAACTGCATCATTGGTTAAAAATTTTTTTTTTACCGACTTTTTTTCAATTTTTATGATACAACCCCTTTCAAAATTTTCGAAAATTGGGTTTGTGGGGACCCCCTTATTTTTTTTTTTGCAAAATTGTTTTTTTTTAATTTTTTGGCAAAACCTGCAGAAAATCTTCAAAAATCTTTTTATTTCTAAGGGGGATGTATTTTCTTTATGTTCAATGTCTTCAAAAAAGTTTTATATCAGCTTTCTCGAATTTCGGAAAATAATTTACAATATGCAATTATTAAATTTGTAATTCCAGGTTGATTGAAGCTTAACATTGACAGAAGGTTAAATATATTCTGCATTAAATATGAGTTCTACTTACTACGTTGTCATTCAGCGACCGAAATCAGTTTAAACTACTTTAGTCATGTTCGCCTTCTACTTTTGTCTCCCGCGGTCGCAAATTACAGGTTTTTTATCAAATGTCAACGGCAGCTTTGTGAAATCGCATCTAATTACGGGGCTAAAAATAAGTGCAGCCACAACTAATCGCCGACTCGTATGGCTGGAATCTCCACAGACTCATTAAAATTATAATGCACTTCCTGGGAACTGAAGGCTGCCATTTGATTGTCAAGAAGAGCAAAGGAAAGGGCCGACATTAAATAGAATGCAGCGAAATGCAAAAAAAAAGTCGTGTAATTAGAGCCATAAATGCACTTGAATTTCACCCAGGTCCACACCCATTTAACCCACTAAACGGCGCACAAAAGAAGCATTTTAAATGAAAGCAGTGCCAAATCCTTCACGTCAACAATTAGCAAAAAAAAATAAACACAGTGGACATTGGGATTCAATTCAATTTTTATAAGGAGCTGTACATCAATATCTAGTTCTTGCCACAGGGAAAAATAAAAGTCTGTTTATGGTTTGGTGAAAAAACCCTTTTTGAAGTATGTAACACATTAAAACTTTAAAACAGATCCACCTGAAAATGATCATTTATTATTTTTGGCACACAATATAGAAGTTTTCTGTGCAAAGTATTTTATTAAAAAATTAAAAATAAATGCATTTTTAAAGTTAAGACAATGTACAAAGAACTCAGTTAACATATTATATTTGTTTTAGTTGAATTTACATAAGCATTTGAAGGTAGAAAATGTTTTACTGATAGTTCGATTTTATGAAGCAGAGTTTTTGTTTTAAATTTAAAAAGTATCTTGAATTTTTTGCAAGGATTTCCGACTTAAAAAGTTCGCCTGTATCCTTGACATGACAGCGGATGCCACGCCCCCCGATTTGCGGCAATAAAAACCGGGCGACAGACGAGTGGGAACCTCAGAGTTCGGCTGTTCGAGATGAGTGACCACCAAAAGGGAAAATCAAAGGAAAATCCGGAAAAGGAGCAGGGTGGTCAGGGCAAGTCGCTGCGGGTCCAAATCCTCGTTTACCGCTGCATGGGCATCGACCTGTGGAGTCCGACGACCGCCAACGACCGCCCGCTGCTCACGTTCATCACGATGGGACCGCTCTTCCTGTTCATGGTGCCCATGTTCCTCGCCGCCCACGAGTACATCACCCAGGTGAGCCTGCTCTCGGACACCCTCGGCTCCACCTTCGCCAGCATGCTCACCCTGGTCAAGTTCCTGCTCTTCTGCTACCATCGAGCGGAGTTCGTGGGCCTCATCTACCGCATCAGGGCCATCCTGGACAAGGGTGAGTGGGTGGGACAACCCTCTTCAGATAGGCAACCATTTGGTACATTGCTTTCTAGATTTCACCGAATTCGTATTGCAATTTAGAAGATCTTAATCAAGTAAACTTTTGTAAAAGCTACAACCCACAAAGAAAATTCTATAAAATTTTAAAAAGCAATAGAAAAAAGTATAAATTGTAGAACAAAAAATATTGCCTTTGTCCCACACAGAAAATTTATTTCTTGGCCTTATTTTAAAAATTAATTAAACTAGTATTATAAATATCTCTTAATATTTGTTCGTGTGTCATGTTCTATCCCAATTTAACACACAATTTACTTAACCCTTTTTTAATAGAAAAAGTGAATTTCTTAATAAATAAAAAGATCTTTTAAATAGAATGATCCATTAAAATTCGCAGAAATCAGTGTGTGGCCAGATGCGCGGGAAATCGTGGAGGAGGAGAACCGGAGTGACCAGATGCTCAGTTTGACGTACACTCGTTGCTTTGGCCTGGCCGGAATCTTCGCTGCTCTGAAGCCCTTCGTGGGCATTGTGATTTCCCTGATTCGCGGCGACCAGATCCACCTGGAGCTGCCCCACAACGGGGTGTATCCTTATGACCTTCAGGTGGTCATGTGGTACGTGCCCACCTATCTGTGGAACGTGATGGCCAGCTACAGCGCAGTAAGTGGACAATTGTGTGCCCGAAACCCATAACTTTGCAGGAAGTACAAGTCACAAGTCATAAGATTAAGATGCACTTAGCATTTGAGTCATGAGTCTTAAGATCAAGATGCAAAAAGTCTTGGTTTTAATTTCCAATAGCACTGTTTGCTTGTATAATGAAGGTTATTGTTTTCATAAGTGAGTAAATAATAATAATTAAAAATGTGATTAAAATTAAAACAAAATAAATTTGTAATTTTGTTTTATTTATTTTTATTTGTTAACACATTTTTCACTATATAGTTGAAAATATTTAAAGCTGCTACTCAAACTTAAGTGAATATTCAAAATAAATATAAACACTTCAAATTGCCGAACAGGTGACGATGGCGTTGTGCGTGGACTCCTTGCTCTTCTTTTTCACGTACAACGTGTGTGCGATTTTCCGGATCGCCAAGCACCGGATCATCAACCTGGCGGCGGTGGGCGGAGCGGAGGAGCTGGAGGGTCTCGTCCAGGTGCTGCTGCTCCACCAGAAGGGCCTGCAGATCGCCGAGCAGATAGCGGACAGGTACCGACCGCTGATCTTCCTGCAGTTCTTCCTCTCCGCTCTGCAGATCTGCTTCATTGGCTTCCAGGTGGCCGACCTGTTTCCCAATCCGCAGAGCCTCTACTTTGTTGCCTTCGTGGGCTCCCTGCTCATCGCCCTCTTCATCTACTCGAAGTGCGGGGAGAACATCAAGAGCGCCAGTCTGGAGTTCGGCAACGGGCTCTACGAGAGCGACTGGACGGCCTTCGCTCCGCCCACCAAGCGCGTCCTCCTCATCGCCGCCATGCGCGCCCAGCGACCTTGCCAGATGAAGGGCTACTTCTTCGAGGCCAGCATGGCCACCTTCTCGGCGGTGAGTCTCAAGGCCACGTGCCACAGGGTTGCACTCGCCGAAAGTGTTGCCAGCTTCAAATTGTAAGGGCAACAATAGCAAAAGAACAGTCCTATTCGAAATTAACTTAAATCCAAAAAACTTCTACTTTATATATAATATATATTGTTTTATATTTATTTATTTTTGTATAAATATTATTTAAATAATTTTTATACTTGCTTTTTTTTCAATTGCTATTATATGGTTAAACAGAAACATCACATGATTGTTTACCGTGTATGTTTTCGTGTTTCTATCTTTTGCATTCCAGATTGTGCGCTCCGCCATGTCCTACATCATGATGCTGCGCTCCTTTAACGCTTAAAAAGGACCCAAGTCGCGGAAGGAAACAGGAAACAAGAAGCAGAGAGAGAGGAGTAAGAGGATCAAGGCCTCCCGTGGTATTTTAAGCAGGTGCGCTTGCTGACGAAGCAGTTCGCGAAGTGCACAGTGAAAATGGGATTCATTTTATGAAGGATATAATATATTTACGAAAGTGCACGGCACACCCTTTTTGCTTAATAAATTAAAAGTAATTAAATCTCTGTACACCATTTTCGATTCAGATAAATGTTTGATAGCATCTATAATTACAATATATTTATACTATTGTCGTAGGAAAACATTTGTCACAATTGAAAAATATAATAAATAAACGTTTGCAAAAACTGTTAACTTAATTTAAAACTTTTAATCCAAATATATGTTTTTGTTATGATGGGTTTGTAATTATAATGATGTTGCCAAGTGCACCACAAGTTGTCTCATTTTCACTCAAAACTTCGAGATAAGTAGACAAGGTTAACGAAACATAAAGGAACGCTTGCTTCCAGCAGAGGAGAACTTCACTTTCAATTCAATTCAGCTACCAATTAGAGCGACCCCGACCCAATTCCCGATTCGCAATTCCCAGTTGTGAATCAGTTCATATATACATACGTATATCTGGCTGTCTGTCGCCGCTTGTCTTCAACCTGCTGTCTTAATTTGTTTTATTTTTATAACGAGCCAAGCCAGCCGAGGCAACAACACCGAAAGGTGGCTATGCTCGTAAAATGTGGGAGCCAGACGTCAGAGTTCCCGATTGAAAACCCCCTTTCCCACTTCCCCACTTCCCCACTCCCCATTTTATCCACCCATCATGGAGGGACTTTTCCAACTCGAGAGTTTTTCACGGCCTTTGATAAAAAGGAACAGGTGCATGGGAAAGTCGGGGAAAACAGAGCAGATTGCAAGCGGTATCGCCAAACTATTCGAATCTTTTCGCGATTTCTGCTGGTCTCACTGCTCTTTGGACCGATCCCCCTCTTCCCCTTTCCCCTTTCCCTTTTTACCCTCACTCTGCCTGGCTGTAACGATTTTCCTGTTTGAACCGTGATTGATGACAGGCGAGTTGCAAAAAGGAAGCGAAGGAAGAAGGTGAGTCGGTGAGTTCCAGCTGCATGCAAAAGCCTTAAGTACACGCAACACTGAGCTGCGTGATTGGATACTTGGCTACCTGGATACTTGGATACCAAGATACTGAGATACTTTCGCTTGTGAGCCATCCCATCCCATCCACCAGCACATTTCACGCCGAATGCACTTTAATTGCCAGCAGTTTCCCCAAAACCATTGCATACGCACTTCATTACGTATACGCAGTGAGTGCCCGCATTTACCTGACTTAACATGCAGAAAATTATGGGTAAGATGCAATGCAATGCCTTTGTTGAAGGTTTTACATTTTCAACATAAAATATTGATAGAGCTAATATTGTTTAATTATTAAACTATAAAAGGTGTAAATAGTTTTCAATTTAGTTTGGCTCTTTATTTACAATCTATATTTCATTTAGCAAATTAGCTTTCCATTGCCTTATTAAAGTATTTACCATTAAGTTAACTCATACCCTTTTGACAAGTGTGTGAAATTTAATTTACACAAAGCTGATTAAGGATATCACAGCTCAGTTTGGAAATTGAGTGCCCCAAAAAGTGTGCTACACTTTAGTTCTTCACATGGTGGAGTGATGATAAGAGGTAAGGCCTAAACTGGCTCAAAAACGAGGCCCAAGTACTGGCCAAAAGAGATCCGAGCACAGAGGATGGCAGGGTTGTTGTTCTCTGATTGAATTTCTCGGGGGCTTTGGGCTTCTAATTTCATGGCCCATGTCAAAGCGACCTGGCCGAAAAGCAGTTCTTGATTTACATTGCCAAAATTGAATTTATTTATCTCCCTCTCGTTGGGGATGCCCCTTCCCCTTCTCCCTTCCCTTGCTTTTTTCCTGTTTGAGTCCTGAGCTGATTTGGCAACAACAATAAAGGCAATTGACAGAATGGCAGGAGTGACTGAAACAAAAACAAAATAAAAATAAGTAAATAAACTGAATTGAAATGTCCCTGGACTTGGTCATGATTTATTGCATTGAATAGCGACGAGATATTCTAAACTTTTCCCTCCTAACCAAATCCCTCCACACTTAACCTCCCCTCGACAATAAAATATTATTGAAAATATGCGTGTTATATATATTCAGCATAAACAAAGAACGAAAGAATGGAAATAAACTGTTTTGACAACCGAGCACTCGTGTGTGCCAACAAAAAGGGATTTTTTTGTGGCCGAAACTCTGAAACGACTGCGAACTAATTAGCTGTGAACAATCCCTCTACCTCTACCTCCACCTCCACCTCCACATTCCAATTCCCTCTTTCCATCACAGGGAAAAACAGGAATTTAATTCACATCCTGCTGCTCCTCTATTTTTGCACCGCTTCCATTGTCCTTTCGCTTTGAATGGAGCGGCATTTTTCGGTGGGACAATACGGACTGGCTTCACACCTTACTGAAGTCACAGCGAAAATTCCAGCAGTGCGGTAAACGAAACATTTCATAAAAGCTCATATGAGTTCCTTAATTAATTACTTGTTTTTTTTTACATCGCAAATCCAAGCGGTGGCTTTGATGAAAAGTGATATGGATAGCAAAAAGTTTTTTTTATTCTTTTTGATTTATTTTTTAACTCCCGGCTGCCATTTTTTTTGGTTAAATATGTTGCTGCCGTAGCTAGTAAACCAATTGTGATTAAGGAACTTTCTGATGTGTGTTCTTAATCCAATCGCGATTGACCAGTGACAAAATCAGATAGGATTGGATTGGACCCAATTTTCAATTTCTGCAATTTTTGTCAACATTAATTAGTGTCCTGAAACTCATTGTTCGGTTAATGGGATTTTTTTTGGTGTGTTTGGTATAGTTTTACCTGTTTCTACTATAAAATAAAATAGGTCTTGGCTTTGTGAAATAAAATTCCTAAATTAATTCTTAAAGAATTCTTAAATAATTCATTTAGGCTGGGAAATTACCTTTAAGGTCATTGGCACATCATTTATTTTTAAAGGCGTTTTAGGGTGATAGGTGAAACGAGCAATCCAGACGCGGCAATCATAATTTGCGCGGGTGCTAAACTCTGAAATGGAAATGCCTTTATTTAACACATGCAGGTGGATTCTCCAGGTTATTCTTCTCGTTCTGGTTGCTCTGGCGGTGCTGGAGGTCCTGTTGCCTCCTGTGTCCTTGAGCTGGCTGCATAAAACGGTCACAAAGTAACGCCGAAAGCTTAACGACTGTAGCCATAATGTCCGGACAAGCTGCTCCGTCTCATCAGCCATCAACCAGGACACAAGTATAAGTGTAGGGATACGAATACGGATACGGATTGGAAACTCTGGCAGCCACGCCTCCTCTCCTTTTTCGGTGGACACCTGCTGGTTCGAAAGCCCCCAAAAAGCCAGAAGCTGGAAAAAAAGAGTAACGGAGCCATCAAAGTTTACATGTTTTATGCTTTCACTTTTAACGTTCTTTTCCTTTTTTGTTTTTGGGCAGGCCGATGATGTAGTGGGCCATTGTCATTGATGAAGATTCATTGCTACCGACTGCAAGTGGCCAAAAAAGGGGATTAAGGGGTCGGGTGGGGTTGACTTATCAAGTATACGCAACGTTATCCGGCTGCATTTGAAATGCGCCACAGGCGATACAACGAAAAAGGAGTTCTGCGAGAGTCATGCTGCTCTTCATATCCGGAGTCGAGCACTCAAACAAATCGGACTCTAAAATTACGTTAAAGGGGGAGGCTTTTCCCCCTTCTGTCTACGCAAATGGAGAAGTGAATTCGCGTAAGGACATCGAAGCACTACAACTTCCTGCAAACGAACTTCTTCACTTGACGCCATTGTGTTTTGCCAGTGAAACCACCTTTGATTTGGCTTAACAGCAGGCAAAAAGGCTGAAACAAGATGCCTACTATTTTCTTTTAAATAAAAAAGTGCTAAGAAAGGAAAAGTTCAAGGCTGAAATGCTTTGCATTTAAGAATTTGTTGCGGTTTGAGTTTTCCTCTTCTTCAAAAACATTTTCAGCGGTTAGATGAAGCTTTGATTGTTTTTTGGAATATATATAGTACCTATAAACATATGTAAATATATAACACTCGCTTTAGGAATGTATATTCAAATTTCAATGCAAGTTAACCGAATTGAATTAGTTTTGAAGGTAGAAGGTTAGTTTTCGCCTAAACGGCGCTTTTATTTAAAACTTTTATTTTTGCAGCCCAACACAAATATTTTTTTAGCCATTTGTTAGGGGAAACTTTTTGGGTGCAAATCGGAAAGTGGGTGACCAAAATCTATTTCTATTATTTACTGACAGCCAAATGGGTGTTTATAAATACAACAGTGGATAAAGTCACGAACAACTATTGTTTCGCGGAAGTCTTTAATTTATTTGTGCTTTCTGTATACAATACTAAATAAATGGTGCCACACATGCATTTTTACACAGTTTATTTTTCCTTGACCCTCATTGGGAGCAAATCCCTTGCTTTGGCAACAGTTTCGCTTTAAAAACACAGATACACTGGCTTTGGGTTCTTTGTCAATTGAATACACAATGTTATAAACTCAGCTTTGTTAGTAAACTACTTTAAAATAAATTATTACTGCAATTTTGGTTCCTTTTTTTCTATTAACCAACTTATTTCTAATGTATGCATTACCGACTTTAATATAAATTTGTTTCTTACTAAATACTGAACATAAACAGTTGATTTTATTTTGTTTTAGTGAACAATGGGAAGGCAACTCTGTTTTTCGGCCTTGCGAATGAATTTCTTGCCAAATACTTGGAAACTTTTTGTAAACAATTAGCAAGTGTCTGTCAAAATGTCTCGCTATCAAACAACTTAGGTGGTGATTTTTGAATGTGTAAGAAAGTAATGTTGCAGTAAAGGCATTTTATAAAGGTTTTAATTATGTTATGTTAGGAAACATGATACATAGTTTTCACTTATGAAGAAACATAAATTTTCTTACTGGTGTCTTTTTTTATACCCTCATTTTTCTAAAAAGTGTTTGAAAAATTAAAAAGGTGCCATAATATAATAATAATAATATTTTACTATTGTGGAAAATATATACAAAATATACACATTTTATTTATTGAGAAAAGTGTTGTGATTTATTTTATGAATTATGAGTTTATGAGTTTTTCGAATAAACAATGTAAATTCAATCTTCTTGGAAGTATCGCCCAGAGTAAAATCGAAGATTTCCCAGAATGCTTTGTTGCATTTACGCTCGGATTTCTTATGTGGAAGCAGTCATAAATCGGAAAACCTCTCACAACATCTTAATTAACGAAAAGGTTGATTTCTCCGAACTCAGCAGGGAAAGTCTCCGAATTTTAGCTCGCTAAGCTTTTCGGAAAAGCTCTCGGAGTGGCAGTAACAGGTTTTGCGCCATCAGCAACAGCTGGCCGAAACCGTTAGCAGAACAGTTAGGCGTTAACAGGAAAGCAACAGTGCGCTGGCCGATTTAAAACCAGGCGTCCTCTGACAAGACGACTCAGTTCCTGTTCAGTCATAGTCGGTTACGTTTGCAGTGGCAGAACCGAGCACCGGAAAAGTGTCCACAAGTGTAGAGCAGTACCATTCAAAAACCAACTCGAAACCCAACTCACAGTCACAATCAGATCTTAAAACCAAACCAAATTCAAAAACTTCAAATTCAAATTCAAGTCATTAATTTAAATTCAAATTCAAATATTAAAATTTCTGTTGAATATTCCCAAATTCGAAATAGACAATTGTTTCGTGCTGAAAGACTTCGTCGCGTGCTTACTGAAAATCCAATCAAGGTTTGGATTCTGGTTCTCCCCTCATTTTGTGTCACACTGTTCGCTTTTTTTTTTATTTTTTGAAAGTGCGTGCGTGTTATGAAAAGTTTGTTTGAGGCGTTCTTTTTACTTTTTCGAGAAGGAAAGTTAACAACAAAATAAAGTCGGAGGTCAGGTATCTCTATCTTTTTGCCCCTGTCCGAATGGTCATTATAAGCCAGCGATGTTTTCTTTTTTTTTTTCTTTTTTTTTTTGTGCTTGCCTCGGCTTCTTTTTTTGGAGGCGCCTCCATTTATGCAGACCTATGCAGAAAAATTTTGTTCCATTTCAGTTCGGTTTGACTTGGTTTTTGGCTGGGTTTTCGGCTTGGTTTGGTTTTCTCCTATTTGGGTTCCGGTCTTTCGCTTCTTTTTTTTCGGGGTAATTTTCGTTGCCTTTTCATATTTGATGAGGACTTGTTGGCGTTTCCCAGTGGGTGTCACCTATACATATATATATTCTTTATATATATATACATCTGTTTTGTCCCCCCAAAAAACAGAAGTCCGCTTCCAGTTCGCATCTTCCATGGAGGGCAGAAACTTCCTCCTATTTTATACTTTATTTATCTGTCCGTTCCACCCACTTTCACTCGGCCCACTTTCACCCGGACCACTTTCACCCGGACCACTTTCACCCAGGCTTTTGTTATGCATGGCCGTGTGAATCATTCATATGCAAATGCTGTGAAAATTCTCATTTATGTTTTTGAGGAAACCCGCAGAAGCCGCCAGCAGGAGTCCATCGTTTCGGTTTTTATGGTCCTGTGGCTTCTGTTTCTGATCCTTTGAATTCAGCGGGCGAAAAGCCAGCGATCGGTGGACAGTGGAAAGTAGAAAGTATAAGTAGAAAGTGGGCAGTGGGCCAAAATGACCTTCCAAATGCGGTTAATGCCATTCGCTTTTGGCCTCCATTAAGTGTTGCCTACTTATCGGCTCCCTGATAGCTGATAGCTTTCCATTGTTTGTAGTTGTTACCTTTTAGTTTTAGTTACCGTTACTTTTCTGGGTTCGCTTTGTTAGTGTGTGTGTGTGTGTGTGTGTGTTTGATTGTGTTTGTTTCGGCCAATTAACGCCGGTGAGCAGTTCATTTGCGACCATGACTAACCGCTTTCCGCTCTAATCTAATCGGCTTTCCCTTCGCCGCCGTGCGATTATAAATCGCATGTGAATGATTCGAGATTTGCGGCTCAGCACGGCCCTTTTAATTTGTGTTATTTTCGCTCTTAACGCATGCATTAACTACTAATTGTTGAGTATAGTAATTGTTTTTTAACATTTTTGAGTTTTAAATATTGCCAACTAAATAACAAGTATTTCCTAATCACCAAACATTAGAATATTTCTATTTATGGAAGGGTTTTATCAAGGCTTTGTTTTCGCTGAGAAAACTTTCAGATATTCAACCTCTGTCTTTAAATATCGTTTTTAAATATTTAAGCGTATACCAATTCCTGCCAACATCAATTCCCAGTGAAAACACCTTAAATAATTACCTTCAATAATTAATTTGCAAAGTATCCCCGAGTCGAGAGTGCAACATTGTTTTTTAATTACTGAAATTGAACGGGAATCGGTCCGTTTGTACTACCTATATACTCTATATGCGGTGGGCTTAATCTGCTCCGAGTGATCAATTGTCGACTGCCGATTGTCGATTGTAATCGTTGGGGGATGTTGACGCATTAAGCCCCTTGTTCGTCACCGCTAACGGTACTTCGCATTTTCGCGGCTTTTCCCCCAACGTTTCAACGTTTGTTGAGTTTGTTGAGGCCATAATCCGGTAACTTGTCTAAAACGCGGTCAACATTTCTGGCTTCTGAAATGAAATCAAATGCCCAATTAGGAGATGGACTTGTTAATTTGGTGATTGCCAGAAAATCGCCTCATAAAACTTTCAAATTTCACTTAAAATATAAAATCCCCTTTTTAAATGCCAAGCAAATTATATAAATGAGCATTGTTTAAAATGCTGTCGCTTGTTTTTTACGTTGCCAACATTTTTAATGTTTGCAGACATAAAATGAAAAACATAATGGCATGTGCATTCCAACCAAGTACTCTTTTATTACTCGTTACTTGTAGATTAAACTGGTATATTTGTTGAAAGATATGTAACAGGACGATGAAAGTATTTGCTACATTATATCTTCTATGACTTTCAAAATCGTAAAAACTATAAGACCTAAGCATTCAAATTAAAAATTTTAAAAAGTGACACGTTCGTTTTGTTTTATGATAAAGGGCTTAGTATTCATGATATATATTATATAGTAAGAAATACACAGCGAAAGGTGTTTTCAAATATTAGCCACGCCCATTGAGTTTGTGCATTTGAAGGCAGAAAAAACTTTAGAGCTATTCGAAATTCGTTCACAAATTACTATATTAATTTGGAAAGGGGAAAAGGCCATTAAATTGTTCCCTTCATTCAGTATGGCTAAGTGAGTAGGAGTTACAAAAAAGTTAATCTAGCAATTACAGTAACCCTGAACTGCAATTAGTAATTAAAAAATAATTACGTTTCACCCGCCTTCCATCCTTTTAAGACCACGCAGAAAAGTTGAAGACACATTTGATTGATTTTCTCAAAGGCGAGTTGTGAAGGCGACTCAAAACATTTCAGATAAAGCGTAAACCTTTGCGGCACACAAAAAAATAAGTTGTTGTTGGCCAAGAAACGTGAATATTTCAAAGGGTTCTCCCAAGTCAACCTGACAGGGTCTAATATCTCTAACGACTTGCTCACCCGAAGCGTTAAAAAGTTATTATAGTCCTTCTCCGTCCACAACAAAAATGAAGATAAAAAGGAAGGAGAATTTCTTGTTTTTCTTTATATTTTTTTTTTTTTGTATTTTAATATTGTGGCTAATTTGGTCCGAGCATCAAACCGACAACAACAGCAGAAGACGACGGGAAAATAAGAAAGGAAATGGTAATGAAGAGGGGAAGGGGGTGGAAAGCAGGGGGGGGGTTTGAAAATGGGGGAGGGGAAAGAGGGGGAAAGTAAGAGGCTTTCCACCAGCCACGGCAATTAATTTACATTAATTTTCCTTTGTTGGCATGGCATTGTTTTGTGTCGTTTGCATTTCCTTTCGTTTTCTTTCGTTTTCTGGTATCGTTTCTCTCTCTGTTTTTCTTTTTTTTTGTTTTTCATTCATATTCTGCTCGGAATTCTGCGGCAGCAGCGATTTTATTAAAAAACAATTACCACACTTGGGCATCTGCTCACTGTTCCACTGTTTTAACTGCAAAAAGGAGCCGTCCATTAGAAGAGGACCTTTAAACAAGATAAAGGAGAAGATATAGAAGAGACAGAACGAGTCAAAGAAGTCAAAGGATGTCGAACGAGCAGAAGGACCAGAAGGATTGGCAAAAGGAGGCCGGCAGGAGTGGCGGATCTGCACCGGAACCGGAAACGGATGTGGATGTGGATGTCAAGGTGGAGATGGAAGTGAAGCAGGGGAAGAAGGAGAAGGAGAAGCAGGAGAAGGAGAAGAAGGAGCAGGAGAAGGAGGAACCATCAGGATCTTCTGCTGCAGCTGGACCTTCAGGTGGAACTTCTGGCGGAGGAGGAGCTTCCTCCAGCGGCGGAGCTTCTGGCGGTTCCGGATCGGAAAAAGCTGCTCCGGCCAACCCAAGCCCCAACCCGAATGTGAATCCAAATCCTAATCCGAATCCGAATCCGAATCCGGAACTGGAACGCGACAGGGACAGGGATTCGCATGGCGACAGGTGAGTCAAAGGGGTTCCAGCATGAAGATTTAGGTGGTTGCCCAAGTGGTTGGGTGGGTGAGTGGTTGGGTGTGGGAATGGATGGCTTCTGGGTGGTGGTCACACATCGAGGCCCAAGCCATCCCGAAGCGAACCCACCTAGAGCACACTCCCAGCGACCTTGTCAATATCCATTAGCTAATTGGGCATGCGATGTCAAGGAAGCGGAGTCGAAAAGGTGGGCCTAATACCCGTATATATAGTATATATATATAGTATAGTCTGGCCCAAAAATGTGAACTCAACTGGGCCCGAAATGAAATCAACCTAATTACAATATGCCAGCATGCGTACATACTTAATTTTTTCAATTATATTATCCACGGTACATGCAATCTATATTCATCGTTCATCAGTATTATAATCGCACTATAACCATTTGTATTCAAAAGCGACCATCGTTTAGTATCATCACCTTGAAATCGTTGCATCTTCCATTCATCCAAGCAAGTAAATAATATACTCTATATTAAAATATAATATGTAAAGCTATAAGTATGGTATTGTAAATCCAAGAAACCTATACTCACCTTTCCCTATTTTTAAGCTGAAAATACTTAATTAAGCATCAAATGCGATACAGATTTGTATATAACGCTTGTAAAGTGTATAGAAATTACGCGAATTACTCCACTTAAAAATTACTTTCTTAGATTTAAAGGACATTAACCTCGCAGTGAAGAAGTGAACTTCCGACCTCCAACCGTTTAAATATATATATAGTCTAGTTACATAAAACATTACATCACTCTTTATGATCTGGTGTCATTTTCCATAGCTAAACCCCTTTTTCCCCTCCTTTTCCCCCTTGGATTCAATGCCTCCCCGTAACAAACAGACTTTATCCCGGTTTCTGAACACAAAGACCTTTGTTGACTGCTATATACACCGTGTTAACACATTTTCCAGCTGGCGGGGGTCTCCAATTAGGACGGCTTTATAAATAGAACGCAGCCGCTCCCCGAATCCCCGAATCCACGAATCTTCTTGGAATTCTCTGTGGAGCAGGGATGTCATCCCCCGAATCCCCGTATCCCCGAAAAAACCCTTTTTCGTCCTTTTTATTTGGGTGCAATTTCGCCTGTCTGCGTATTTTTATCACCGCACTTCCAATAGTTCGGCTTAAGAGCACCTTTACAGGTTTTTATATACAAACATACAGCATTTCGGTATTGGGAAAGTATTCTGTGGCAAAATGAGAGGCTTAGTTGATTGATATAATTAAACTAATTGGTTGGGAGTATTTGAAATCAAAACAAATACTTATCTAAAATTAAAGGTGCAACTGCTAGTTTTTGTTTGCTTTACAGGTAGTTCAGAAATAAAGTGGTGGATCTTATCTATGTTGGTTTTATGGCCAACTGATTGTGCAGTTCTCCCATTTCCATCAGCACCTATCGTTTTGCAATTTATGGTGGGATCAACTTGAATTTATATCCTAAACGAACTTCGTGGGTAAATGGAAAATACAGATAATGTTTTTATAACAACGTAGCAATTAAGTTTATAATAAATTATTTTATTGGTGGCAATGGATACCTTCAAGCAAATTGTAATCATATTTTTATTCACCTACAAATTAATGTATCAGTTATGATTTTCTTTGTAATTTTTTTTGAAGTCAAATTAAAGACTACCTACATGCGCTTTTCTTTCTTTTCAAACTGAAAAAAAGGGATTCAGCCTAGAACTCTGTAAACTCCTTGATTAGTTTTCATACTTTTTTTTAATTATAAGTTATTTTTTATGAACAATCAAGAACCCGATTAGCTACTTAAAATCAATTCAACTTTCCCTTCCCATTTATATACGAGTATATATATCAAACTGTTTTCATAAATTAAGTCTAAATCGGACTTAATTGAAGTTTGTTTCTGCCATTATCGAGTTGAAAGTCTGCGAGTATTTCTGTGTCATTAGGGTCAATTAGCAAGGAAAATCCTATTTGAAGTTGAACTTTCGAGGGCACCAAACACCGGAAAGTTTCCACTCGCTTCTTGCTTTTCGTCCGTGTTTTTCCCCCCGGAACTTTCTCCATTCTGCCGGCATTCCGCTTTTTCCTCCGCTTGAGTTTTCTCCCCCTCTTTCTTCCCCCTTCGTCCGGTTTTCATTTCCGGAATGTCCGGGGGAACTCGTCATCGTCATCGCTTCGCACTCAATCATCGCTCCGTTTCGAGCATTCAGCAGTGCAATTGACACTTTGCGGAATTCAGTTCAGTTTTCTATGATTATTTTTGCTTTTTTTTTTTAATTAAATACCTAATTGGAGGGACATCAAACTGATTTGGGGAGGGAAAGGGAGAGGGTAGTGTTTGGTATTTCATTCTAGTCTTTCCTTTTTCCTGCAAGATTGCAATAGTGAAAGGGTTAGTTGGTTGGAAAAAGTGGGCGGGTCGCGACCAAGTGTCACATCATTGTTGACTGTTTACTGTTTACTGTTTACTGTTTACAGTTTACTCTGTTTACTCTGTTTACTGTTGACTTTACTCCCATCAATTGTTCGGCAGCGGAAAGGAGTACAAACACACGGAGAGTCAACAAGGAGGCGTTGTCCTGGAATAGCCCGCTCAACCATATTCCCCGCCAGAGATTTGACACCATAATTAACAACTCTTCGAAAGGCATTTAGTTTTCTAGGAAGCTCTTTTCTAGCTTCTCAACTTCTGGGGATTTTTCTGGTGAAATCCCACGATTTATTGCAGGTTGTTTTCGGTGGATATCCTTCCCCTCCTTTCACCTCCTTTCTCCGCATTTTCCCCCAGTGCACCGTGTATCCTGAATTGACAATGAGCCTTTGGCTTGGACTCGTTACGTGAGTTGGTTGCCAAATGATTCCCCATTTCCTGCTCGCATTGTCATTACCATTCAGCCCTGCCAAATTGTTAATGGAAATTATTAGTTATTAGCTGTTTTGCATATTTTGATGAATCTGCCTGCGGTTCTCTTACTTACTCTTCTGCTAATACAACAACATTTTGTTAGTAAATGATGCTCCACAAATTAGTTGGTTTACTTTAAGAGAGGTTTTGGTTTGTTATGTAGGCATAAGTTTACTGAATCGGTGTGTCTAATAAATTAGATAGAGATTTAGTCAAACCAATGGGGACAACAAGAATAGATTTATAAATTTAATTAAATTTCAATTACTCTACTGTTTAAGTAAACATTGCATTCATTTAGAATCACAGAAAGAAATAAATAGAGTTATGAAGGTTATTTTAGGATTGTTAAGATATTATTTTATGTCTATGTGCGAGATTCAATCAGTCAGCATTTGGATAACAAATACTCCGTAATCCAGATTATTTATGAAGACTGCACATGAAGGCAGCCCAATTGTTTCCGAGAGTTGCTAACATTTTTTGCTGTCCAAAATGTGATGATGATTTCCAAGGGGGAAAGGATTTCGAGAGGGTGAAATGCTTTTCCTGCGCTGGCAGTAAATATCCAAACTGGATCCAATGCATCACTGATAAAAACTCAAACGAAGTCGACTTCCTCTGCCAATCCAACCCTTTTCTTTTTGCGATGGTAAAAAACTTTATGGGCGTCCCAAGCTCGCACTTTGTATCTGTAACTTTGCATCCTTGTATCTCAACTTCTCTCTGGTCGCCTGCGAATTATAGAGTTTTCCTCACCCGTGATTTTCCCAGTTGGTCAGTGGGTCGTTGTGTGCACGGGTTGGGTATCCAAAATGGAATCGAACCAGGTATATGGGATACTTAAGGCGACTCAATGCGAAACTCAAAGCTGGCGAAACTTGCAAGGAAATCAGCATCTGCTGGCAATCAGTTGTTCACACAATTGAATCGGGATTCAATTGACCAAACAGGAAGCTAATACTTGAGTGTGTGTGCGTGTGTGTGTGTGAGTGCGAGTGCGTGTGTGTGTTTGTGTGTAGGTGATGCCTAATCAATAGTGATTCTCTATTGGGGAATCTGGCTGTGATTGCGATTATGGCAGCAGTGATTTACGGTTGCCAAAATCCGCTGGATGCCAGCTAACATCTACCAGATATTCGGCTTTTAGATTTCACCTCACAGCTGGTTTTTGGCATTGGCATTCAGTGGACAGAGCTTGACCCGCCGCTCGACGTGTCCTTGACTGCTTACACTTCTCCTGTGAGCGGTGAATCCAAAAGGACACACACACACACAGCACACACAGTCACAATTAAACGCAGAAGGAGCCAAGGTTACGGACATGCAGGACATGTCAGGACATGTCAGGATGTGAAGCGATCAGAGTGCAACCAAACGGAGCGGAATTTGCGGAATTGGTGGAATCGGTTCCACCCCAAACACAACACGAGTGCAAAGGTTGCCCACGCTGAACTTTGACACAACCTTTTCGCGAAAAATCATGCAATTACGTGCAGAATCACGCACTGAGTAACCTTTTTCCCCTCCATTGCAAATTCTGTCAAGTTCCGTTTGCAATTCTATCAAAAATATGACATTTTCTTTCTGATACAATGTGTCTTTAAATTTCCCAAATCAAGAACGAATTATTATTATCCTTGTTAATTTTCAGAGTTAACTGAAAACATTAAACTAATACACAAATTAGTTACAAATTAGTTTGGCTATTGCTCAATGACGCCGATATGAGTCGCGGCGCACATCGAGTGTAACTAAAATCTCCTGTAATATAATATCATATAATATATGTTATATTTATTATATTATTATTATGTCAGGTACACAGAAACCTGACATGGCTGAAACGCGCATTTTGGCTATTGCTCAATGACGCCGATATGAGTTGCGGATGTTGCTCAATGACGCTGATATGAGTCGCGGCGCACTCATGAGTTAAGTTCTTGATTTTGAGGAATATTTATAATCTATCTTTTTCTCCATTTTGCAAAAGATCTTGCAATTACATGGAGAATTACGCACTGAATACGTGACTTTTTGTCACAATGTATCCTAATGTTCGAAGAACAAATATTGTTTCTT